CACATTCCAATTCTTGGATGAGAAAGCTGGAAGCATTGACAAGTGGGGAACTAACAGTTTGAGTGAGGGCAATGAAGAGGTTTTGGCTTTGGGTAAGATGCAACTTTCATGATAGTTTTTCCTGATAGCATTAAAGACTTACGAAGTGAAAAGTTAAAGCTGTTTTACCCCTTTGGAACTTGGGAGGAAGCTTCCTGTTCTTAATTATTTCAGACTTTCAAGTAGGAAAAGTAGTTTTTGGCTTTAAAAGAAGAAGACATACTGAAGTGATGTAGGAAATTCTGTGTACGAGGCATTTAAGTTTTGCTCCGTAACCTGAGAGACGATAAAGTTCTGTAAGTTTGTTTTGTTCTGTAACCTGGGTTAAGGGAAGCTAATTAGAGGTGCTAGAGTTTCTGTTTGTGAATCCTTATATTAAGAAATACATAACGAGCCTGCCAGGTGGCTTAGACAAGTATACCTGAAAACATGTGTAACAAATTAAATATACCCCACTCTGTGGTCTTGGGGGTGGGTGTAAAAACTGTGTTTTTATAAAGCATGGGTCTCTTGAAATACTGTCACGTCCAATAATATGGATCTTCACATATTTACTAAGGAAACATAATACAAAGTAGTGCAGCTGATATCTTGTCCATGTGCATTTTGACTGTGGTTTGGATGCCTCTTGACTCAGCCTGGGCAAATGCATTGCTGTGGCCAAGAAAAAACCTTTCCAGAAGGCTGCCATCCTTTCCCAGTGCCTAAATGGTAATTGACTGAGCAATGCTAAAAAAACCTCGCAAGAGAGAATGTTTGCTAGAACAATTTTCCTCCTCTTTGATTCAAGAACTGTTGGTACAGTAGCATGCTTACTGCATAGATCTTTCACCTTGTAAATTAAGCAGGACATTACATCTTATGGTGTTGGTTTGAGTGCTTATAAATTTGCTATACTCGTTCATTTTGTGAATGAGAGAATTGGATTAATCCCTGAGATTGTCCTGCTGAATGCTTGATGATGCCATGCTCCTGCTGTTAGGTAAATATTTTTAAGACCTACTTTGCACCTTTTTTGCAAACCACTTGAAAATTGCTGGCAGTCTCATTGGATCATTTACTGAACTTGTTCTACTACAAATCAAAGCGCAACTGTTATTTGAATGTTTTTTCTTCAGTTCAGGTATCATTCTGAAAATAGGTACCAGGCTGCAGAAAAGGTCCCCATTTTAGGTCTCAGTCATAAATCCTTACATATTGATTACATGAATGCTTGATAACTACCGAATCCTGCATTGGACACCTATGCAGTTTGCAAATTAACATGGGTGAGCATAGTGGTACAAATAAGAACTTATAACACAGTGTATCCCATAGAAATATATTATGGTCATCAATAGAAAAGTAGTAATAGAATATTTTCCTGTTGCATGTCTGTTCAGTTCCGTTGAGGGAAGCCCTGCACCATGTGGTTTGGGCTTAGGGTAGGATCTCTAACCCCATTCTGCTTTGAGCAGTGACTTGATTTGAAGACTTTACAAAGTGTGGACTCAGGTCTTACCATCTGAGGTGAAGAGACATGTTACGATAAAGCAGGGAGTGCTGACAACACGATGATAAAACCACATGGAATGTAATACATCTCGCTAGAACTGGCCTCACTACAACTATTTCTTGGCAACTGATGTTCTGGGGTGGTTCATCTGCATAATTAAAGTGTGGCATATTGTCATGTGTTATCTGTGTTCTTTGACAATTCCCAGATGGATAGTCTTGAAGGCACATGAAAACAGCTTACACATTTAAGAGGAGGAGAGTGCTTTACTCTCACAGGGTATTCTTTAAATAGTCATACAAATTCATTGTTCTAGTAACAGGGTGGATTCGAATTAAATCAATTTTAATCATGATTTAAATCACTAGTCTGTAGGACTAGATTTGAAATCATGGTTTTCTACATAATTTGCATGCATACCAGCTTTACCCATAGGTAGAGGAACTTTATTAAAATATTCCTAAACTGGGTCTTTTTTACTGCCTGCTGCCATTATAGGTTTTCTCCTCCAGGAAAGGAATAATATGGTAAACCTGAGGCTATACACAAAAAGATCCAAAGACTTGTGGAGTATTCTTCTCAGAAGGTTTTGCTTCATTTTTACTGCTTGCCCCTCCCTCCTCACACTTAGCTTCTTCTGTGGATGTATTCCACTCCCAGCAATCTTCTTCTATTCATTGGAATTTAGCACTTAAGAGGTATAGGGTTGATTCTGTGTACGTATATTTGCAAAGGAACAATAGGATTGAAGTATTTTCCCTCCACTCTGCATATTTATTTTATAACATTTTTGCTGTGAAGAAGAGGCATGTGACCTCTGCAGACACAAATTCACAGTTTTGAGAACTGGAAAACCAAGCATCTGTGTTAATATCTTCTAGGTATAAAAACTGCCCAATAATCTTACACAAACCTCTGGAAAAGTATGACATTGTCAATGGATCATTTACCAAAAAATTTAAACATTGCATGAATATACAGCCTCATGCTACATAGTTAAAAACTCATGCTTATTTCATGGTGAATAACCTTTGGACTATAATGTATGTTAAATAGAAAACTACCTTTAGATATTTTTCCTCAAAAAGCATGTTGTTTTAAAAAATCCAATTTAAATCAAAAACATCTGATTTAAATAAAAAAATATTTTAAAGAACAGTAGAAACAAAGTGAGACAGAAGGAGCCTCACTGATTTTAACCATCCTGTCTAGTAAATAGGTTCTGTTTGTTTCTAGTTATTCTTGTTTTGTTAATGCTGAGATATATAATTAGCATATTGGAGAAGAGTATGTAGGAAGCACTAGATGGCATTTGTTCTCTTTTTACTAAGAACTAAAATTATTTTATAGTTTACTTAGCAATGTATATTTATTATCTTCTCTGTCTGAGCATTTGGTGAACTAGACTACTCTTCCAAAAGTTTATTCCAGACTAAATCAGGATAATTTGTAAGTGGCTAGAGCAGTAGAAGGCAATGCACATTCTAAATTCTACAACCTGAATCTAGTTACTCATATCTTTAGAACCCTTAAAGGTGCATATTGTCTATGAGTTCCACTCTTACAAGACACTTGATATTTTATTATTTATCACAAGATGTAAGATCCAAATTTTTGAAGCAAGTATAAATTACCTTGTTAGCGTATGTGCATGTGTATTTATCTATTATAGTTCTATCCTACTTTTTTTCCTGTAAGGAACCCAAAGCAGATTACTTATTCTTCCTCCTTCTCTCCATTCTCTTTGTAACAGTCCTGTGGGCTGAAAGACATTGACTGGCCCAAAAGCTCTCAGTGAGCTTCACAGCTGAGCTGAGATTAGAACCCAGTCCCTTTCCAGCATTCTAACCACTACATCATGTTTATTGCTTATTTGCTTAGCACTAAAGATAAAGCAAAATATAGCTTGTGCAGTTGGCATGTGAACCTGAAATACTGTATTGCTCTGGTAAGGGTAAGTCACTCAGGTGCCCAGATAAGTCCCTCTAAAAGCAGGTTCTTGTTTGTAATTATGGGCTTATTGGTTATCAGCCAGGTTAATTCTGTCTAATCTTGAGCAATACAGAAAGACAGATTTGACTGCTTTAGTCTAACAGAAGAAGGCACACATTGGCCTGTGCCCATCCTATTAGTTTGGACCTTTTTTAAAGCCAAATACTTATTTTCTGCTCTCTATTTGATGGGGGCTGTAAGATGGGGGCTGTAAGAAATGGCCTTCTGGCCATTTTGGTGATGCTGATCTGTCTTGTAATCTACACACTTCTCTGGGCCTAGAATATTCAGAACCTTAAAGCTGCTTATGAGTAGCTTGTATATTGTTCTGCTCTTTGTTTCTCTTCAATCTTTATATGATGAAATCAGATAATATGATTTCATCAGATAATCAGATAATATGATTTCATCATATTTCCTTTCAACACTTCTCATATAAAATGTTTTAAACTATGACAACATAAGAAAAGCCAGTGTGTTGCATATTCTAAATGTACCTCTGGAATGGATTTTCTTTGTGGATCTCAGAGGGTCATTATGTTGCGTTTTTGGAGTGTGTGCATGTGAAGTTGGCAAGCTTATAAAATGGAAGGAATAATTCTACAAATCCAAAACTGGATTTTTAGCTGTATGCGTAACACTAAGCATAATACTTATGCATTGTATTATACCATGCTGAGGATTTCCCTAAGGCATAGACAAAAACATGGTGAGTTGTACCACTGTATTTGGGATGCTCTTTTAGAAAGTAATGTTGGAGAATAGAATGAGATTTAATCTCATTTATGTAATCTCCTTGATCAGCAATGGTGCTAAACGTACTGCAAGATATACATTTTCATTGTGAATGTCTGATGTTTCTAATTATCAGTGAGCAGAGCATTAACAATGAAAAAGCCAAGAATGCTGTAAATGCTGGACTTTTATTATTGTTATTTATTTTTTGTTGTTATTTATTTTTATTTGTGTGTGTGTGTATGTATATATAGAAGGGGAGAGAGTGTTGTGAGCCACTCAGGGAGCTTCTGGGTTTGGGGCCGCATACAAATGCAATAAATAAATAAAAAGTAAGATTTTGCTGACAACCTGACAATGCATGTAATGACTGTTCATAGTTTTGAATTCTTTGAGGGACTTTACAATATTCAGAAGTACACCTTTAACAATGGTTTATTTGATCACAATTTTATTTGTACTCTTAGTATTTTATGACTAAAAGTTGTGTTTTGCCTTTTTTGCAGTTGACAAGGGTAAGCAAAAGAATCCCAAGAACTCGTGTATTCAAACCCAGACTTCTACTGAAGTGCATTCAACAGAAACAAAAACCCATGAGCAGCTGACACAATACAAAGGAAAATGTGAAAACCAAAGTGGAATTATCCGACAATTGAAGAAATGCCTGGCGAGCAGTAACCAGAAATTTGAAGCATTGGCTCTTGTGATACAACACTTGCAGTATGAGGTAAAGTTTACATTTCTGAATGTACTTTTAATTAGCAGTGTTTGCTTGCTTTTTACGCCTTACCCACACTTGATTGACTTGTTTTTAAGGTATCTAAATATGGCGGGGAGGAGGTTCAGTGTTTAGAAACCTAGATGTACATTGCATGACACAGATCTGCACTCCCCCACAAACCAGCATCCTACTTCCCATATTGTATGCACGATTGTCCAAATTGGGAGATCCAGTCATTAGTAGACCTTCAGATTTACCTAACCCTGAATATTAAAAAACTACCAGGGAAGAGTCTGTGTTCATATAAAGCAGCATCACCCAGTTAGTGAGTTCACGTTCCATCTCAAGGAAGGTGAGGACCTCTTGAGGGATGGGATGGGCAGGCTGAACTGGGAAAATTGCAGATTGTTTTTTCCTTTCTTTTAATTCCACAACGAGGTGCAATATTGCCCTAGCATAATTGTGTTATGCTTCCGTACTACAGTGCCACCAAGATGTTATGTAATGGAAAGGCAGGAAAGGAAAAGCCCTTTGTGTAGAGACCTGATCTTAAGTCTGCAATGAAAGCAGCAGTCCATACAGCAACTTAACAGCCTTTTAAAAGAAAATGTGTGTGTATGTGTTTATGCAGAGGGTGGAATATTCACAATGTAATGTTTGAACAGGTAGGTTTTTATCCATTGTGTTAGGGTTTGTGACAGCATGGAATATTTCAAAACGTAAAACAAGCAGGTAAAACAAGGTAAAACTCTTGTAACAAGAGTTACAATATGCCAAAAGTGTGTTCAAAACTTAAAAGTTCCTTCCTTGGGTGTATCAAGAGATTAAGCCTATACTGATGTGCCATAATTAAATGGCATGCTGTATGTATAAGTTGGAATTGGAATGCCTTTGTTTTTAAGGTTCTTAACAGCTTGCCCACTTAGTGCCAAATCTATTCAGATTACACAGAATCTGACATCTATTACTTGTAAATATTAAATGCACTGAGAGGGAATAATATTTATGAGGTGTGTGATTTTCATGTTTTTCTTTTCCCAACTCAACAGCATTTTATCCACATATAACTTTTAGGTAATATCAGTGCTATTTTGGGAAACATTCCAAAAAATCTCCACATTGCCTTTCCTAGTCCTCCTGATCCCACATTTCTTTTACTTTAGTGATCTGCCTCTTTCCCCTCTTTCTTTCAATCCCATTAAGCTTTAATATATATTTATAGATACATTTCAACACATGCCTAACCATAGCCCATGTTTCTATACATCTTCTAACTGGAATATTGTTGGTCTTACCCCTACCTGTTTGTAAATCCCCAGAAAAATGTCTCCGTTTAAGTTATTCCCTTTGGTTTCTGCTGTTGTGCCATTTGGTTTCTGCTGTTGTCCATCATATGCATTCCAGGCCTCCTCCTATCTGGTACTCATGGCCATCCTTGCCCATTACTTGGAGCCCTTAAAGCAAGCTTGGTTATTTCCCTGATAAATATATCCAATCCCCTTTTAGTTATGAATACTTGTGGCTGAGGAGATAGCAAAATACTTGAGGCTTATCTTCTCGGCCTCCGCTTACCATATCTAGTTCTCAGACTTGGTAGACTAATAGCATGATTGAAAAGGTAAGCTGAACGTTGACTTTTCCATGAGTTGCAATTAAAAATAATTTAACTCCCAGAAACTCCTCTGGATGGCTGCAAGTGGGTTCAGTGGTTAGTCTGGGAAGCTTTCAATATGTAAAACCATTTTTGCCCTAAATATTGCTTTTCTAAAATGTCAAACTTAAAAGGGGGGATTTGAGTGTGTTTGATAAGCAAAGCATCTTGGCTGTTGCAGATAAATCAAGAATTAATAGCCAGGAAGAACTATGACAAAAGAAGCTCAGTACACTAATGTGAATCGTTTCTTTACAATTTGGTTGAAGCACCAGATGTGACTTTTACTCTCTATCTTTGGTGAATGCATTTGACAGATTTTTTAAAAAATATAATATTGCAGTTCTGAATTTATAAAATACTTGGCAAGTTGTCACAGTGGCCTTTGAATAAACTAGCACAAGTGACTTGCAAGCATTAATTCATTATACCTGTCATTGTTCTCTTAATGCTTGACATGTCACTTTTACAGGTTTATTTATGTAAAAGTTGTTGGAATTTGATGGTAAATCTCATCTGTCATTCTGTGTTTTAAAGATAAACTTGGCTTTGTATTTAGCCAGTGCTATCTTTTTGGCAAGTGTGGTGCAGTGATGTTTGTAATGGGAAGATGCAGAAAACTTTTGAAGTATATTCAGGCTTAAATTACACATTATTTTGAGTGTGTTTCAGAATGAGGGAGATCATTGTATCATTCTGGCTATGACCCCTTCCCAGTTCATTTTTCAGAAGTTTGTTTATAAAGGAACTACAGCAGAGCAGAGTGGAGTGGGGATAAGAAAGAAGAGGAGGTAAGGAGGAAAATTGAGGGAGGAGATTAGTCTTCCTGTAACTTAGAACATAATTACCAAAAGTTGTAAAATCACTGTGATGCAAACTTCTTTGGATAGCTTATATAAGTTGGAAAGATGAGTTATTAAGGATTTTCATAAAGAAATATAGATTGAAATGCATAAAAGTGCAACTTTCAGTGCCTCAGAATAAATTTATGAATTTACTTCTACACTATGTTGCCATTATTATTAAATTTAGAACCAGCTCTCACCCTCCTGCTTCCATGCAATCTATTTTTTAAAAAATCATTAAAACATTCTAAAACCCCTAAAAGCCCACATGCAAAAACTATTCAGTAACATTTGAGGGCAACTTTAAAATAGAAAAGTGACACAAAACATTGCACGTTATTATTAATTTTTTGAATTTCTTATGTGAAATTTATAAAACTAAAGCTTATACAGCATGTTACTTTCAGGATGCAAAAAATGCACCATTAGTAGTTATATATATTCTCTTTCCAAAACTGACATTGAATGTCAGGTCAACCATGTGTTTTTGATTTCTCGTTAACATACAAATGGGAGCCACACTGCTATGATTCCAGTTTCCACTCTTTTTGATATTTTCAGTTTATGTGTCAGTTTGAGTGCCACTGACCATATCCATTCATCCATCTAGTCCATGTTCCTTCTTTTTGTCTGTCCCATTTTTCAATGGGCTGCTACTTCCAAGCAGGCAGCTGCCAGTAGGAGTTGTATCAAGTCCTTGTATGTCAAATTCTCTTTCTAACCAATAAAAATTGACCATAAAAACAATGCTACCTAACACCACCCCCTCATTTGAGTTGTTATTTCATTAAGACCCGGATCTACATTCCACACCATTCTGTAATGAACTGGTAGCTAAACTACTTTATTTATTTATCTATCAATTTATATCCTGCCTTTTTCCTACAAAGGGCTCAAGGCAGCTTACATCATTCTCCTCCTCCATCTTATCCCCACAACAACAACCCTGTGAGGTAGGTTGGGCTGAGAGTCTGCGACTGGCCCAAAGTCACCCAGTTGGCTCCATGGCTGAGCAGGGACTAGAACCCAGATCACCTGAGTCCCAGTCCCATGCCCTTAACCACTACACCACACTCTCTTGTGGCTCAGTGTGCCATTTGAACCACAATCTCTCCAAAAGGGCAGGGATAACCCTAGGGACATACTAGAAGGGGAAAGGGGAACGCTGCCGGTGATGCACCATTTTCAGGGATTCTTCCATAGTCGCCCAATAGTTCTAATAGTGGATAAGGGAATGACCACATATGATTCTGCTGGAAATCTGAAACCTGTGAAAACAAGATCAGTTTTCCATTGGCTCTTAAGTTCCAAGGAGGTATTATTGCTTGCTTTCCTGAAGCAGCCAGCCACATAGTAATAAGGCTTCCCTTCTGATGCTGATTGACCAGTCTCATAGCTTGTCTAGTAGCGTGAGTGACCGATCTGGTTCCTTTGCATCCTGCTCATTTTCCCATTGAGAAAGGCCCTGGGCAGAGACTCCATGAAAATTGGTTTACCCTTGGGGAACAAATCTCAAATACAATATTATATGCGTTTGTGCATGTCTCATGTTATTATTTGCTCAACAGAAAAACTAGTCTGTACTGCATTTCTAAAGGAAAGAAAAGGAACCAGTCTCATATCCCTTCAGAAAGAACACTAAAATGTGGAATAATAGTGCATTTTAAATGTACTCCTGTTTATAAAAAAGATGAACTATAACTTATTATGTATTTCATTTTATACCATAGAATATCCAAAGCTCTCTTTAAATATTTAAAAAGTAAAAACACAGCAGTTACATACTCCTGAAGAGATTCTATTATCCATTCTGAGTTTCACTTATTTCAGGAGCAGGGTGGAATGAGCTAAATCAAGGCTTTTTAAATTAGTGATATTAATCTAGCACAAGAGAGACCACTTTTAATTTTCCCCTATAATGTAATGCATATATTTCTTGGACAAGCATAGCATCAAGTGGCTGCTATAGCAATTTGAAACATTTGGGCTTGTATCCAGGCTTTGCTCTCACCATTGGGAGCATTCCATGAATGGAGTTCAGCTTTAGAGGATGCTTCCTTCCATTGGCAGAAGCACAAGAGGTGACTTGCCAATTCCCACTTCCCCCTGCAGTCCATTATGCTAGCCAAAAAGTATGTATTTATTTATTACATTTCTATACTGCCCGATAGCTAAAGCTCTCTGGACAATTTGTGAAAAAAGTTAAACCCTAAACTATTGCATACTTACTTTAAAACAGGATAAAACTAGCATAAAAATCAGCAGGGGGGAAGCTCTTAAAATACAGAAACACGTTTAAAGCACAACTGCAGTGGGAGTGTCCACATGTTTCATGTTTGCCTCATTGCAGGAAACCTGAGAGGATGAAGTGAAGGTGAAGGTCATCTGGGCTTGTCTCAGCAGTGGGCACCTCAACACAGTGCTGGACTGGTGAGAAATAAGCTGACAGGCAGCACGCCAAAGCCAAAAGCAGAGCTCAGAATGAAACGAGGAGGAGGCTGATCGGGACCAAATAGTTTTCCAGAAGGGTGGAGGATCCTCCAGATCATGTTGGTGGTAGCACTGGGTGCAACTTAGAAAGGGGAATTGGGAAAACACTACCCATCCTCTTACGCCCTCATGATCCCTCTACTAGAACAAACTTTTTCTGAGTTTATCTTCTGAGTAAAAGACTTTATGAAGGGAGGAATTTAAATCCAGCCCTTGCTGAACAACTAAATGAGGCAGTAATGCAACCTTAGGTCCACAATCAGAACAATTTGGACATGAAGCCCATTTTCAAAATTTCCTGTTTAGTGAGGCCACAGTATTTAGTTTATCTGGTCAGTTAATTCTATTATTATTTTTAATTAGACATTTTATCAGTTAGTTCCTTAGTTTTTGATGCAACAGAGGAACTGCCAGGTTTAAGTGGACCCTGGACAAAGTGTCTTCTGTCCCACTTCCTTGACTGTTTTCCCCCACTTGTAGAAAACTGACACAACAAAGGAAAAGCTAAGGTAGAACCCCGCCGTTATGCAACTCAGTGAGCTTGTCAAGGGCATGATAATTATTACTATTGGGAGGTAAACCTGCAGAAAGAATTTAAGTTTTAAAAATAAATATTTGCCCAGAAGTTTTGTTCAAAAGGCTGCACTGAGCATACACTGCTTCGTGAGGTCATAAAGCTATTCTAATGACACTTCTGTTGTTACGGTAACGTGATGTCATGACCTTTGTTTTGATTTCAGAACCTTGATCTTGAGGTGGGCTCATCATTCCTTAAACTTAGGCTTTTAATTAAAAGATGGCTGGAAAAATGTCCAAACACAAATCCTTCAGTTCTTGAAATAAGCTTTCTAAGAATATATGCAACCTCTTCCCCAAACTGGAATTCCAGAGAGCATGGGTCTGTCTTTTCTCTGGAAAGTATCCATGTCAGATCTCTAAAATACAGTATTAATTATCCATGAATTTATTGAGCTATCCAGACTTCATCTTATCTTTTATTACAACACATGGGTTGCAAACTGGCAAAATTCTTTCATGCCTTTTTTGGATTCGATCAATTGGTTCATTTTGATTTAATAACCAGCTGCAAGAAAGAGGTGGTAAGTCTACTACGATTATATATTGATAGTAAAACAAAATTTTTGAGTAGTAATGCTAATCCAGACAATTCTTATATTTAAAAGCATATCTTGCTATTTCTTTATATTATTCTCCTATAAAGCTTTCTGGTAATGTGGAAAATCACAATAAACAATTCACTTTTTTCCATCCTACAAATTCCACAAACCAACAGAAGTAGGCAAGTTTTTCTCTAAAGATCGATGGCTATTAAAATGTAGCTTGCACATTTGGGGTATAGAGGATCGCATCTCCCACCTTGCTGGGGAGGAAAAGGCTAAAGAATTGTTTACATCAATGGGAGTCATAATGTTTGTCTAGTTGTATCATGTCTGGATATGCTACTTCACCTAAAAGTAATAACGTGTATCTCTTAGCTGTGGCAGCAAGGGAGGAAAAAGTGCTGGAAAGCCTTCAGTAGGACTACCCAAAGGTCTCCTTCTCTGTCAGAAGATTTTCTTCAGAAGATGCGTGGAAGAGATGGCTATTTTTATCCTATGCTATCCAGGAACATTTTGGACCTAAGTCTCTTAGACAAGGTGATCACAAAAATGGGCTAGGATTGAGCAGGACTATGCAGAAGAAACTTGGAGTTTCAGACAAGGAATGAAGGAAAGGGCTTAGAGTGTCATATTATTATGCAGTTAAAGTATGATAATGCTTTGTAAACCTTTCCATTCAGGATAATTTTAGCAAGGTTAATGGCAGTGACCAGAAATGTCAATTTTAATGTTTTTGAACATGAACAGTCTAGGGGAAGAGTGTGCTATAATGCAATTTTAGAGAAAAAGAGTTAAAGTTATATAAGTATAGTGCTGTATTACTAATTAAAAAGAATAATTAACAAAATTATTTTGATCACCTCCTTTATTAACCACCATGCTTCAACAGTAGTTATGGGAAAGGGGCTTTTTCTAGTGTACATCAATATATCATCTTTCCAACTATATAGTTTTATCTCATTGTAGAGGTACAACAGCCATTTAAATGGTTTTGCTATTTAAATTTCCCTTTAGCTCACTCCTGTTGCTAAAATGGAGGTGGTACATTTTTGTGAGTGCTTTTGCATCCCTCTAGGCTATGGTTCATCTCCAGCCTCTGATTATTTGGTGGTTTTCCAGCTTTTGTATGGTTTTTCCCCTATTCTAGAAGATCAAAATACCTCTCCCAAGGTTTAAGTGACAGGAAGGGCTTAAAATAAAACATCTTGATATGTTTGCCATGTTGGCTTTGTCTCTTTTACCTTTGCCACTGCTCACTCCTGGAATGCCGCCTCCAAAAGCTTCCCCAAAATGGAATTTAGCCCACAGACTGAAAGAGGTTCTGCACCCCTGTGTTAGGAAGATGAGACCAAGAGCTGGATATCTCCCTTTCATTTGAATGTACATCCCAATATGAGGGACTTTTTCTCCTCAAACAGGGATGGATTTCCTTGCCTTCTCCACGAGGAATGACATGTAAGGGAAACAACAGTTGAGAAAAAATGTTTTTGTCCCGAAAAAAGAAGTGCATCCACAAAGATGGGTTAGGCTGAGGCATTTCACTGCCTGAGGTAAGGGTCAGAATGTCTCCAAACTCTCTCCACTACCATTCTGTCTACAGAAGCTGACTAAACTGTGTTGAATCTTAATTGCCAATTCTATACTGGCAATGAGACACTGTAGTTGAGGAAAGCAGGGTAGCTTAGGGGTCGAAAGCAGACAGTGTGGTATACTCACCACTAATCCCCACAGCAGCCGTCTCTCTCTGCCTAATAGTAGGCTCAGCTCTCAATGACAAGTTTTGCAGCTTAAATGCAACCTTCCATAAAGAAACTTACGAAAATAGGGTCAAATGCTGGTCATTCCATTTTTTCCTTCTGAAACAGAAAATAATCATGTCTTCATAAGTTGAGTGGTGCAAATGTTCAATTGCAGCATTTATTGATATGAAATGTTAGACATTTTGGGATTTTCTGGAACTTACAGATCTTGCATTGTTAAAATTCTTGTCATCACAGACAAGCAAGCTCCTTCTTTATCATATGGCTGACCATTGTTCTTCTTAATCTTAATAAAATTTCATCAACACAGCAGGACATACTCTGGATTTGGCTTTTTTGGCCAGGTGTGAGGGTGATGCTGTGAGTCTGGGACACTTTGTCATGGTCAGTTCACTGCCTACTGAGATTTAGACTGATAGTTGCTTTTGCCCCCCAAAAGGGGGAGACCAATTAAGATGGTCCACCTTCAGAGGCTAATAGATCTGGATAGCTTCCAGAAGGCTCCTGGGGGACTTTGCCAACTTATTTATGTATTTATTTAAAACTTCTGTACCATCCCATCACAGACGTCTTGGGACAGTTCACAACAACTGAAATGGTTGGCACTTCTGTTGAAGCCCTGGTTGAGCTGTGTGGCACTGAAAAGACCCAGTTAGTTGACATGATTGCTCCTAAGCACTTTTTGTGCTGTAGAACTCATACATCTCCATGGTATCTCACCGGACCTGAGAACAATGAAACAACTTGGAAATAGCCTGAGTGCAGATGGATTCCTAGTGGATGCGATCAAACCCTTGTTTATGCCTATAACTGGGTCTCCATAGAGGCAGTGAGCACAGCAAAGAAACAACATCTCGCTGCCTCCATTCTGTCTTTCATTTGCCACCCAGCAGAGCTGTTTAGAGTTGTCTGCTTGCCAGCCCCATGGAGATCTTACACCCAACTAAGGCCTGCTGTAGTATTGAGCACTTCCAGGGAAAAATATCTTGCATTGATTGGGAATTGGACTCTAGTTAAATCTGTTGAGACAACCAGAGCACAGTCTAGGCACAGGAGGCCACAAGAGGGAAGGCTTTCTCTGTGGTAGCCTCCATCTTTGGAAAGGCCTCCCCAGTGCAGCTTGCCTGGTCCCAACCTTGTCATCTTTTCTGCACCAGGTTAAGACAGCCCTTTATTCTGAGGCTTTTAAAGCTATACATAGTTATCCAGGGGCTGGAGGGGATTACCCATCCCAGATGTCTTTCTTCAGTGTATGTTTTGAGCTATTTTTATTATTTTTTGTTTCTTTTTACATAATTTTATTGGTTTTTATGTATAGTTGTAAACCTCTCATAGAGCTTTGGCCGTAGGTCAGTATAGAAATGAAATTAATAATAGCTTTACAATATAGGAGAAAGAAGTTAAGTGCAAACACAGGGAATGTAACCTCATTTATTTTAATTCTGTGTGGTCCCTGGATGTATGATGAAACCCACTTTGGGTTTCGCAAATTCAAACTATCTGTCCTCTATTTAATCACAGTTCTCCCATTAAATAGTGATCTATGAGACCTGACCTCAGTATCTGTAAAATTTTCTACAAAGTTATAATGTTTAAGAAATGACTCTTGAAAAGGAAAATTTACCTTTCCCAGGATAGGTTTCAGTTTGAATGTTGCTATAATTGGATGTAGTTTATACATAATTATATGAAGATGCCACTGCACAACAAAAATAAGCATTTGTTTTCACATTTTCCCAGCAGCATTATTGTATGTTCATCTTTAAATAGAATTCTCTACTCTTTGCACACTGCCATGAATCTATATTTAAAATGTGAGAATTGACCTGTATAAGTACTATGCAGTTTGGCTATATACTACTACTGATTGTTAAGTCTGCAAATTGATACCTAGTACTGGCTGTGCTTTACTGGAAGAGGAAATGGACAACTGAGACAGTTATGTGGGTCAGTGATTTACACTCATAGAAAGATGATGCGGTATAAGTACCCCTATACTTTTTGTAACTTTTCTAACCCTGTACTTTTATCCATGATTCAAAGAGCTATGTCAAGTTCTGTCAGGCTGGCATGGCTTTAGGCCTTTGTATTTTATTTAAAGAATACGCTCTCCTCCCTGCTATCATTACCTTCAAAACTGAGGGAAGTTTTATATGTAGCTGTATATGGGAGCAGTTTACAACGGGAAAAAAACAAACAAACCAGGATTAGCAATAGCAATTTGAAGACCTAGAAAAATTAAGAAAAAGCTTTTCTCCCCCCCCCCAATAAGCAGCTTTGGTTTATGAAATATTTTGCAATTTAAGACAAGATACTTATCTTTTGTTATCCAGCATTTACTCCCCTCCTCCCAGATGATTTCTAAAAACTATGTAACATGCATACCTTTATAGATAGACTAGAAACAGTGGCACTGTGGGGAAAGAGATCATCCTTCCCAGCACAGTTACTACTTCTGTTCCTTATTAACATGATTGATCTCATGTATCTTTTACTGATAGATATTCAGGGACGGTCCAAGTCATGCTTAGTTTCTCATCGTGCAAGCAGAGTCATAGTATATGGAAGAAAATATGCTTTCTTGCCCGTTTGGGTTTTGAGCTACAAAGTCCTCTTTCTGAGCTTGTTCTCATTAGATGCTGTACTAGTCAATTAATGTATTTGTAATCTAAAACCCACATGTGAAAGAAAAAAACACCGTAGGTTACCCTGCCACTGTCACCAGATGTAACAGAACAACTTGTGAGTTATTCCACAAATATTTCTTTCTTTTTTAAATTACTTTAAGGCTTGGTTCTAGAGAACTCACTATCACAATTTTAAACAAAATTCCTGTTTGGACAACACCATGAGGAAATGCTACCTAAGCTACAGAAATTTTTAACTGCTCCCATTAGAATAGAGCCTTTCTATCTGAAAGAAACTCAGTAGCCTGAGATGTGACTGATAGAACCATTAGAGACAACCTTTCTAAATGAACAAAAAATAAGTTGTTCATTAATGGAAATTTAATTAAAATTAACAAAAATTTAAAAAGTCACCCTGCGAATAGTAAGATGAGATTGCTTAAACATTCTTGAATATGATTGCTTATCAGTGTCATACTGCATCTTTCCCAGCTATATTCCCCGATACTTTTCATCAGATCAGATTTCTCAAAGCTCTTCATCCCACATACTGGAACAGGTTTAAGAATTTCCTAAACTTCCTTACAAACAGGAAAAAATGCTGTACGTAAGTTTTCCTTTGCCTCCAGTTCTTCCTGCTTCTTCTGGCTTTTAGGAAGATCCAGGTGTTTCAGGGACAAAAGTTCCCTCTAGTCAGACATTAGAAAAGGATCCTTCCTTTATCCTTTCTTTATGCTTTATCATCCATTGTTCGTCTTGGAACGCCTGTCATCTCTTCCAGCTTTGATGCAGACCAGTTAATAATTTCAGATATTTATCTGGCTATCGAATTTGCTGGTCAAAATCTGAATGGATTAGAGATATTATATTCCATAGTGTATTAGCTGGCTGGCAATTCAGATTGTGTCCAGAGTTTATTACTTATTTGGGAATGCTTGTCCCTAGGGATAAAAGATTAAGCTAAATTTAAGTAAGCCGATTAATGGGATTTATTTATTTAAGATGTTTATATACCATTCTTTCAGCATTGCTCTCACAGCCTATGAAGTACAGTGAATATACTTAAACAGAACATAGTACCTCAAATTACCTGTTTTTTAAATAGTATTACTCTGTACTCAACAAGCATTTTCAAAAATGTGATGGTTTGTTTCATAAATATCTACTGAATCCCATTCTACCATGTATACTTTTGGAAAAAGTCAACTTTCCATTAAAGAAGGTGGATTTAGCTTCCCCAGTCCATTTTTCTATCATTAGGCCCATTTGCTGACTGGCACTAAACTTTTCCACTCATTAGACTTTTCTCCCTGATCAATTTTGGAATCTTCATGTTTAGAGTCTCTCCCTAAATGGATTGCCTCTTGGCATGCCAAAACTGATAGGATGCCTCCTGCAGTTACAGCTGTCAGAGGAGTGTGGCACATAGCGTTGTATCAGTTGCAGTTCGATTTATTTTCACATGCAAAATTAACCTTCTGGGGAAACTCAGTTTTCAAGAGCAGCTGATAAGAACTGTGGGTGCTAAACATGCTTTTCCAGCAATGGCTGAATGGCAATATATGTAGTTGAAACTTAGATTAGTATCTTGACTAAGCCTTGCCCCTTTTAGAGCCCACAGTCCATGTTTATTGATATGAATTATTAGTGAACAAATATGAAACACAGGGTCTTAAACAAGAATGGAATAATGAATTGGAGCACCCTCTTTTGCCCAGTCAGTGGAATACTTCATTGGCATCTATTCCAGGACAGGTAATGAATCATAGGTTACATTTAATTCAGAAAAAAAATGATAGTTAAGATCATTCGCTCCATTTAATTCTGCAAAAAATGATGCTTCAAGTATATTGGACAACACAACATCATTACAAGAAGGATGTAATTAATTTGGCCAATTGTTGGAGGTGAAATGAAATTAAAACTTCTCTTTCTCATATGTTTTGGGAGTGCCCAATGACTGCTTCCTCTTGGAAGGGGATAATAATTCAGGTAAATTTTGTGATAGAAATCTCTTTAAGTATGGATTTGCCCATTCATCTTAATTATCAACTCTTGGAACTTAACGCAAGCTCAGCATAAATCGATTGCCTGTGCCATTCTGTTAGCTGAAAGAGTATTATTACAACATTGGGAGGATAACTGTCCACTGCAATAACACAAGGGGTAGAAGACTTGCTAAAACTTTTGCTTTCTGGACTGGTGGGTTTTAGGTGTACTTTACAAATGCACCAGTATGTGGGATAACTTTGTTGAAGTCTATGAATAGCAAGCCTGGAGGAATGTTGTCCATGGGGTTCTGATGGGCCAGGCACGATTTTGCGACTAAACAATAGCAATGAATAGCCAAAGCAAAACAAAACAAAACAAAAATGCAAAACTAGCAGTACTTAAATTAAGATTTTTAAAATTATTTATTACATTTCTGTACCACCCATAGTCAAAGATCTCTGGGCAGTTTACAAAAAGGTGTAAAAACAAATACAATAGATAAAAACAGTGAAAATGAATTTAATAATATATTAAAACAATAAAAAGACAGACACAGCCAAGAGTAAAACGAGTTCAATTTCAATTGATTGTTCTCATTCAGTTACAGATGTACTTAAATCTCATATAAGAAAACTGCAGTCTTATTTTTTATTTTATTCTTCCCTTTCTTGTGCTTTGGTTTTGCTTTCAAAATTCACTATAAAATTAGTTTAAAAAGATGTAAAATAGGAACCCAACATCTGTTATATATAATTGGGTTTTTAATAAAATTGTCATGTTTTGATAGTATTATTCAGATTTAAATGTATATTTTCCTCAGACAACAATTAGAAATATACTTACTTATAGAAGTTTTAAATATAATACTTTCATGATCAAACAAAATTATATATTGATGACCATAAAGACTGCCTTATTTTTGTAAATCAACCTTCTACTCCCTGGTGCTTTCGAGATGTTTTGGACTACAATGCCCAGCATTCTATACCTTTGCTTATGCTGCCTGGGGCTTGAAAGGAGCTGAAATCCAAAATATCTAGAGGGCTCCAAGTTGGGTGTAACAGAATGGCTTTAGTTCTGTAAAGAGCATGCAAAAGGAAGTATTGCTGCTTCTTTCATTTTTCACCACATTTGCTGTGTTTTGTCAATTGTAATTTCAATTCAGTATTTCAATAATTAAAATGTTGCCATTGCTTGAACATTTCTGGAAACGTTACCTCTCTAGGTAATACAGCTACTTGTATGAGCCTATACAGTTCTTTGGATCTTGCTTTTTAAAATAGCTTAAATCTTCCATCATTCTTTTTGTGGGGCAGGCATCCATGGGAGTTTCTTCAGAGCACAGCTGGCTTGCTTCACCACTATATCACTATTTTCATCCTAAGGAAAGTGCTTAGTGTTTGCTGATGTTGACAGGTTACATGGCCCACCTTGGCTGCTAATTGACTTTGTCATTAAAATATTTTAATCCCTTTTTTATTTGTTTGGTTGAGACTTGCAAGATGTTGGTTCAGCTTATAACCACTGCAAATTTAGTATGTCTAGCCTGCTGACCTTCTGAATAGTAAGCCATTCATTTTAACAGTAGTGCATTCTGGCCAACCTAATGGGTGGATGTCTACTTTATTGCCCCCAGATCTCTAAGAACAGTATCCGAATTGTTGGTATTACCCAGGGGTAATAGGAGTGGCTGGCCACTAATCAGGTTATCAGATAAGTGGATTTTTCTTATTGTGAGTTTTAAGCCAATTTGCAGTTGGAATGAATGTCTTGAAAGTAATAAATGTATTCTCAAGGTGGGGCTTTCTCTGTTGTCTGCCTGCCTGGCAGTTCCTGCTGTTTGAATTCAGCTACCGTAGTTCCTTGTATACTTGCTGCTTGCAAAATACTTATGCTCTTGATTAATAAAAGAATATTCTTTACAGAATGTGCAGCTTGCTATACAGAACTTACCTTCTGCACCGTAAATATCCCTCGTAGTAGGTCCCTGATCTTCCTACAAAATCTTATGCGATTTGGAATGCCAACACTGAATCTAAAATTATTAAATAGTAGCAAACCATTAGAAAAAGAAATCCAAAATTGTAATATGTATGGCACTTAAGTGGTGAGCAAGATTTGAATTTCTCAGAACTTGTGTGTTTGTGCAATGAGAGAAAAAGAGACCCATAAACTTTATAGGATTTTAATTTTCTTTTAAAATTTATAATTTTCACCCCAAATTGACAAATACTACAGGAGAAGGCTCAACAATGCCGGATTTGGGTTCTGCGCTTTGTCCTTATGGTAGGGACTAAAGGAGTAGATGGGGCCAGTCACTAAATGTCTACAAAAGAGCAGAAATAGTAATCTAAATCGAGGGGCGCTTGGCTAGGTGACCACCAAACCCATGGTGAAATATTCACATGTGGGTTGCCCACATTCATCTCTTGCTCCTGACCCATTCATCTTTCTGCCCTCACTGCCTGAATCTTGATTGTAAGCTCCTTGGAGCAGGGACTTGTCTCCTCTGCCTTGTCACTGTACAAGCCACTCTGAATGCTGTTGGAGCTGCGTAGCCAATAACATTTGAGGAATATTGGTGAGGTCTCTTCCTTTGCTCTCCACTTTTCAATTCATGTCACTTTTTTCTGTTATAAATTAAGAGTGAAAGCCTAGAATAACTAATTCAGTAAAGCTAAAAATAACATCCATTATCCATAGGAGGTGGTCAGGATGTTTTCTCCCCCCACTCCGCCTGCTCCCGCCACTGTACTAGTTGATATTTGAGTAAGTGGCAATCGATCTTTGTAATGTCTGGTTCTCATTTTTCAAAAATGAAAGGGCTATGGCTTTAAGTAATCACTGGCTGCTTGTGCCAAGTGCAGAAGCTGCAGTGTCTGCTTCTGTGTTGGGGGAGAGGCCAGTAGAAGAAGTACGGTAGCTGCACGGCATGATGAAGGAGGGCTGAGGCAGTGTCCAATGGGGTGGTACCTAGTAAGGACTTAAATGTGGCCCTACCAGTTTGGCCGTGGTAGTGCCTGCCACCTGTGCGCTGCTCCTGCCTGCTGTGTGCACTGGGGGGCGGGGGGCAGCAAAGAAGCTGGGGGCAGCAGCTGTGTACAATGGGCTGCTCCAGCAGCAGAATGTGCCTGTACTCTCAGTGTGCTGCAAAAAAGGTAATTAGTATTTGCTCTGTAGTGCTCTTCTGGAATAATGTCAAGGAGTTTGAAGCAGGGGTTTGCTGCAAGCAAGGTGAAAATGGTTCCAGCAGCAAGCGACCGGGGAGAAAGCCTGGATCTTTGTGATCTCTGCAGTTTTAAGCTCTGCACAGCAGTGGCTGCATCTAGAAGGCAAGGAGAGCACTGGAGCACTCACAGATGGTAGAGTTAAGTGGGTGTTGCTTGATTCTTGTTTAGTTAAACTCTTTGCTGGGCTGTTTTGGAACTTGTTTAATGCTGTGTTTGGTAAGTGGGAGTGGAGAGAGAATGCTTGAACAAGACCCTTTGGGAAGTTTAATTTTATTTTGTGTTTAACCACAGAAGTGTTATGCAAAAGACAACTGTGTTGTTTTGAGTGTTCAGTCTGATGCACAGAGCAACTTGCCCTTGTATTGCCTTCTAGATTTTGCAGTGGGATATTATCTGTGTGGAAGGCTAGGTATATAGTGCCTAGGCTCATGTTTACCTTTGTTACAGAGTACATTACACATAGTGTTTATTTCTGCATGATGTCCTCAGAAGTTAAGGACTAGAGGTATGCATCGTGGATCCTAGAAAGTTAGTTGAAACTAGTTCTACACCGTTTAAGGATTAAAGTGCCTCCTACCTAACTTGCAGACTTAGCTTTGATAAATGTGGAAGTAAATGTTTCAATGAATTTTACTTACCAGTGCCGATTATTATTTAAACATGTCAGTTGCCTTCACTCAGGGCCATCTGTGTTTTTCTAATGTTATAAAACTGTTATCCTGGATGATTCATAACTTGGCTTTGCTCTTCTGTCTCTTGTCATTCGACAGATAGCATGCAAGTTAATTATTGGAAGGTGTCATGTTTTCTGCCTGGAGTGTTCACTAACATTGTGTGTCTGTGTTGTTTTTTCCATAGAGGGAGGAAGTACTGAAACAGCGTAAAGAGTTGTCACTGGAGCTTCTCAATCTGCGTGGAGAATTGGGTAAGAGCATGCTTATTTGTGTAGTCCTTCGTTTTAAAAAATAAAACGCATCTGCAGAACTGAGTTAAGATATTGGTCATAGTACTGAACCAGCACAATCTGATCCCTGGACTGTATTCTGTTCAAATGTTTATGCTCTGTGTTTCTCTGGAGCCTTGACGGCATGACCCTGGGTTCATTTGAATTCTTGGCACCAACTTGACTAATCCTTCCAGAGCTGCCTCTGGAAACATGTATCTGATGGTGAAAACATTTCACTTGTGTGTGTGCATGTGCTTGTATTTTCAATATGCATTTGTTCCTGTTCGTTTTAAATAGTTTTACAGACCTTTGTTTCACATTTTTTCCAGTAAACAAAGCAACTGTAAAATATGCTATATTTTATTCATGGTGTGTCATGCTGAGCCTTAGTAGAGAACAGACAAATGAAAAAGAGAAAAATGCCACCATAAACAGATTAAATGGTTCAGGGCAGCAGCACAGCAGATTACTGCAACACTTAACATGATTTGAAATGAGACACGGTTTAAATTTGCCTGATGAAGGTTTGCCCCTTATAGGAGCTTGAGAGTTTTTAAAGCAAGAACTGGTTAACCACTGTAGAGGCTAAGAGAACAAGGCCAATTCACATCTCACCTGTGGCTGCATCTCATTGGATGCTTTTAGGCAAGACCTACTGACACTTAGCTTCAGCTTCCTCTATAATGTGGAAATATAATTAGCCTGGCCTCTTGCTGTAGGAATGAACTAGATAATGACTTAGTTAACATACAGTGACAAGTTGTGGGCTAATCATGTAAACTGTTCACAATTTCTTGTGTGCAAGTGGGTGTGGGTGAGTACATCACCTCCTCCTGCCTGCTCCTCATTCCCACTTTTAATCAACAACCTTTGATTGGCTAGGCCCCAGGTTGTAAGTACGATGTGTGAACCCAGAGCTAGGGACTAAACAGTCCAGCAGTTAACCCATGATTCGTGATCAGATTGACTGCTAGGTTGTTTGACCCTTAAACAAGGTTTCTCATTACATTTGTAACACAGTTTCAGTCAGTGGACTAGTCTTGTCTTGTGGCTTGGTATCAGAAGCTAACAACAGGTTAACTAAAGGACCTTTTTGTGTTTGGGGCTATTAATGTCTTTCTAAGGCTTCTATGTAAATCAAATGCATGAATGTCAAAAGGGATCCCTTTTCAAATGCTGATTATATTGCTGTGCTGTCGCACCCAAGGGAGAATGAAATGCTGCCTTTGTCCCTTGCTCTGCTAATTTTATACACATGAAAAAACATAGTGTAAGCAAAAGATGGTATGGTATCTCTTTTCTCAGTCCTAGAGGGGTCTCTTTCCGCTCTTGTCTCTCTGTCCACCCACCCCACCACCCGTTTGAAAGTTAGAACAGTAGTGAGCGTTGCATTGTTTTGATGATGAGTCTTGAATTAAACATTATGTAAAGATGGCTAATTCCTTTCGATTTTGAGAGTCCTGAGCCAGGGTTCTAAAGAATATGTGGGGAACAGCAGGAAAGGAGAACATGTTGGGTAGTGATTTTTTTATTCTAAATAAACTTTAAAGGAACCAAAGCTCGTGGTTTCACCCTCTTTTGGCATCCAGGTAGTTGGTGAAAAAAAGAGATTCATCTTTTGGAACTACAGAAATAACCTTCTTTAAAAGCCATGGCCTTGGGAAAGTGAGCTCTTCTTGGGAGCACAGGGAGTACTAGTGTAAAACTGATCAGTTGAGCAGTTTTGAGATGGCTAGTTCTGAATGGATGTGTCTAGAAAGCTAAAGTGACTTGCATTTTTTAAATCCAACTTGTGTTCTCATGTCTGAAATTGGATGTCTGAGTTGTCTCACTGTGGGGTGAATCCCTATGAAAGTTCCTAAGGTTATCTGGTGTTGATTGACCTACTTTGGGAAACACTCATGGATTCGCTTACAGGTTTGGCAAGATATGCTGATTTGTGATCTTCACATCTTGTCACATTGGAACCATTTCTCATATACATCATTTTCTGGTTTCACTTGGTGGCAAATGGTCCCTATGCTTATGTTCCTGCGATCTGAAGTAGCCTTTTAAAGTATGTGCTTTTGGTAGTTCCCAGTTTGTTCTTTTGTTTCTTTATCTGATTTTTTTACATTTGAAAGCATATCGGACAAAATAAAATAGCAATTGTCTGCTGATCCACACTTATGCAGTTATTTAAATTAGTTATTCCTGTATAAGTAGTTGCTCATGTTTAAAAAAAAAACTCTGGAAAACACTGGGTTTCTCAGGAAATTGTCATCTGCAGGTTTCTGTGCTACTGGCCTACTTTGCAAACCAAGCTATGGTTGGTGTTGGAACCATTTCTCCTGTGTTGGCATGGCTCTTTTGAAATACAGTGTGCAGTGTGGGAAAGCAGGGAGATCGTAAGGCCTGTTTGCACAGGCCTCCTGAAATTTGCTCGTGCTTAGCAAGTATTCCCTTGGGACAGACATGCATAAAGCTGCAGTCCACTCCTAAGATTTGGCTACATTATTCTAGCAGACAGGGCATCACACAATTATCATGTGTCAGGACCAAGAAAATGGCTAAATGGTTTCATAGTCAAATTTTGAAGTACCTATGGAAAAGAGATGCAAAGTGTATGTTCCAAGTCTGAGCTATTTGACTGTAGTTGTCATTATGCCATTTGTACATAGCCTGCTATGGTTGGATTGGGGAACTGTTGCCCACTAGCTCTTGTGGAACTCCAGCTCTCATTAGCCCCAGCCAGCATGGTTAGTGGACAGGGATGATGGGAGCTGTACTCTAACAACATCTGAAGGGCCAGTTCTGTCTCATGGCATGGCCAAGACAAAGCACCTGAGGTGAGGCAACAGAGAGAAAAACAAGTTTTCTTTGTACTGACTTCTGCTGAATCCGGGGGAATAAAGAGGACAACAGCTGGAGTGTGTGAGGAAGGAACAAAATTTACTCCTCAAACTTACAAGGCAGGAGATAGATCAAGCCTTCATTATTCAGTGGTGGTATTGGACAGTTCCTCTTCATTTCATGCTGTTTACCCATAGAGTGTGGAAAAGTAAAATTCTGCACTTGAAAATATAGTTTCGGTGGATAGAAGATCCAACCTCCTTAGTTGTCAGTGACCCAACCACATTCATTGGAATGTGTACCTGTGTGCAATCCACTTCCGGTGTCTCTGCTTAGTCACAATAATGACTATTATAAAAACTGATATAGAAGCTGTCTACACTCTTCTAGAATAAGACACAGACAAGGTGGAAAGGGTACAGAGGGGAGGGTAACAAGGATGATCCAGGGACCAGAAACAAAGCCCTGTGGAAAGATTAGAAGAACTCGGCATGTTCATCCTTGAAAAGAGAACACTAAGGGGAGATATGATAGCGTTCACAAGTGGTTGAAAGGTTGTCACAGAGAGGAAGGACAGCATCTCTTCTCAGTCATCCCAGAATGCAGGTCTCAGAATAATGGGCTCAAGTTACAGGAAGCTGGGTTCTAGCTGAACTTCAGGAAGAACAGTACGGCAGTGGAGCCAAATACTTAGGGAGGTTAGAGGCATTCAAGATGCAGCTAGACAGCCATCTGAGGGGAATGGTTTAACTGCACTGAGCAAGTGGTTGGACCTGATGGCCCTCTGGCCCCTTCTGGGTCTACTGTTCCATGAGCTCCAGGATTTTCCAAACATTGTTTTGCCAGTTGTCTTGGGCCCGGCTCCTGTTTGCAATTGCTGCTCAGGTTGTGTGAATGGGAAAATCAAGCAGCAGTTGAATGGGAGATGTGCACAAATTTGGGAAGATTTCTGTAAACCTTTCCCCAGAGGGGTCTGCCTGGCGCTGTCGTTTTTTGTTTTTCGGAGCCAGGCTAAGACCTTTTTATTTCAACAATATTTTAATAACTTTTAACGTCAGCTGATAGGTTTTTATCTGTAGCCAGGGTGGATCTGGATTTTATTTGAATTTTAGTTTAGTTTATGTAAGCTGTCCCAAGGCTATGCGATGGGACAGCATACAAATACTGTAAATCAATCAGTCACACTGGGAATCAGCAAAGAGACTACACAATTTGCAAACATTTTCCACAGACACATGCTCACATGCATATCCAGGGCTTCAAATAGGACCTAGTCACATATTTTTCAAGCAAAAATGAAATTTTAATATGTCCCTAGTTTAAATAATGGTAACTGTCACCTCTACTCACTTTCCTAAAAGGTGCAGAACTATACACATATGTTCTGTAGCTTATTAGTTGAAGTACTGTAGGAGTTATTTCTATTCGAGTAGAAAGAATATGCAGCAGAATATGCATTCAAACTGAGAAACTTTTTCAAAATCATGGTAGATTATAACACTTGGTAGCTTATACTTCTGACATCAGACAGTTGAACATTATTATTTTGTTTCTCTTTAAAACATTGTCACCTGAAAAGGGTAAAGAGGTTTAGGATCAAATGGCATTTATTTTAGTTGCTCTTTGGATATAGAATATTTTATTTATAGATTGAAGTATTTATTGCTTACCTTTTGGCCCTAAAAAGCACTCCTGCTGCAGTAGTTTTACAAGTGAACATACCTTCATTTTATTTCTAATTCTACAAACAAGAATTAAAATGCAGCAAAAGCAGAATAAAAATATCCATTCACCTTAAAGGTATCAGAGAAGGGGCCAGTCTTAGCTATTTGGCAGGGGATCTTGCAAAGCCACAGCTGAAAAGACCCTGCCTCATGTCCCTGCTGGCCACAAACTCTTGGCAGTGGAACACGAAGCAAGGCCTCCAAAGGTGGATGCAGTTGTCATCCCAAAGAGAAGAGAGTCTTGCTTGCACTGAGAGAGAGAGGTACCTGCTGAGCATGAGTGGGAGGAGCTCTAGAAGCTCATGAGAGCAACTGAGATCACTGCAGAGAGGCTCTTGCCCCTCATAGTAAGTTATTCTGCAATGCACTCAACAGTTGTTCCTGAGGCAGACCTTGCAAATAAAGGCTGGAATAAATTTGCAAAAAGAATTTTCATCCAAGTGGTGGTTTGACATATCATAGTATTTATTGCATATCACTTAAGCTACGTTAGAAAAGGGCTTTGCAGAGAGAGTCCCAAGATTTGATTGCTTGGTTTGGAACGGCAGTCCTCTTTTGTTCTATGATGATTTGGTGTTACCGCGTTGGCAGCTTGAATCCTTCTTCTCTTGTATTATAATAACATGAGATAATCCTCTTTATGAATAGAGGGCTTTAATGTGTCAGGTGCAATCCACTGTTGTGAGAGCTGAAGTCTTCTAACAGAACAGGACTTCTCCATCCTCTTCCTCGCAGAGCAGATTTAGGGGCACAAGGGAGACTGCAGCGGGGGAGGGGAATCTATTCTGCTAGTGTTTTCTCTGTGGATCCAATCCAAGATACCACTGGATCCAGTCCTCCAAATTTTAGTTCCAGATTGCTTAGTCTTACTAATATTAAAATCAAAACAGATTAAAAATTAGGTTTGCTAAATCTAAGTGAGATTCCATTTGAGTGTATTTTGTTTTTCATAAAGATAATTTATTGTTTTCAAAACATTTTAAGTGACATTTCAGGACGAAGACCTCTCAGGACAGCTTACAGTAAATATAAACCAAGAAATTAAATAATATAAATTATATTATTAAAAGTCAAAATTTGCAAGTTCTAAAAATTCTAAATTAATAATGCTTTATAATTACGTTGTTATGCATTGTCAAGTTGTTTCCAGCTTATGGTGACAATGTGAACATATGAAATGCCTTTTCCTTGATAGTCCTGCCCATTCTTATAAACTCAAGGGTGTAGCTTCCTTTATGGAATCAATCCATCTCTTATTTGATTTTCCTCTCTTTCTTCTGTACAAATATTTTTTCCATGAATGATGACTGTACTCTTCACCTGCCTGTGACCTATTGGGATGAAGCTTCAGCTTGTCCACCCTCATGTACCCTAAAACTGCCTTCAGACACATGTTAAGGAATTTCAGCCTTTCCAAGATTTATAGGTGGAATTTAGAGGTATAACACAAACCTTCTGGCGATTTCCCCAGGCAAGTAGATGCTATAGTGGAGCAAGATGGTACATGTGGAGCAGAGACAGACGGCCCTGAAGGATGACTTTGATCATGGTGTTGAAAGCTGTTCAGGAGAGCCGGTAGAGAAGGACCATAGCTCCTTACATGGTTTGTGGGCAGAAGGCCCCAAGTGCAGTTTCCACTAGCTCTAAGTATGATTGGGAAAGGACCACTGCCGGTCAATATAGAAAATGCTGAACTAGAGAGGCCTAGGATGTCTCTGGGTAACATTTGTAATAGAAAACTGAACTGTACAGAAAACTATAAGCCTTCTGTAACGTCAAATGAGAATTCACAAAAGTTACATTTCCTGAAAACATAGCTAAAGAAAGTTGTTGTCTTACTATTTTTTAAGGTGTGGGACTTGAGTAAGGATTATATGGAGTAGAGTGTTTCTGTAGAAACAGAGGAAGATGCCTTTTACCGGATCAGACTGTCAGGCCAACCCACTGATACCTGCTCTGATTAGCAGAAATTCTCCAAGATCTTTGAGGTCTTTCCCACCACCTGCAACCTGATTCTTTTAACTGGAGATAGTCGGGGATCAAATCCGGGTCCTTGCATGCTTTACCACAGAGCCATGGGCCATTCCCTAGGGATGACTAGAGAAGCTTCTCTCTCCCCTCTTGCCTCTGGCAGCAGTTTGCTGGGGGCACGAACCACTGACTAAAGGATTCAGGGCACAGAAGGCGCTTCCCACCTGCCACTGAGGCTGTTACCCTTTCTCCTGTGTTGAAGATAGTAAGGGTACCTCTTCTCTAGAAGAAATACCATAACTCTTGAGCAACGTGTTTGTTAAAACTCTTGGATTTGAAAAGGGGTGTTTTTATTCATTCCCCCCAGTAACCAGTTCCGCAGCCTGTGAGAAATTGGAGAAAGACAGACATGAATTACAAGCAGCTTATGAAGCGTTTGTACAGAAGCTGAACCAGCAACACCAAAGTGATTTATCTGAACTGGAAGAGAGGCTGAAGCAGTTTTACACTGCAGAATGTGAAAAACTGCAGAACATTTGCATTGAAGAAGCTGAAAAATACAAAGCTCAGCTTCAGGAGCAAGTAAGTTGAGTTGGAGTGAGATTCATGTTTCCAGTTTTTATACACATGCTCCTGCAGTCCTGTTTTGTTCTACTGTTGCTTAAGTCGGTGACATCCCTTGTATGTAAAACACTCTCACCTCAGAGGGTGTTATTTTGTGCTTTTCAACCATGGAAATACTTGGACAGCTTTGCTCCTTTTAGTGCCAGTGTGCTTCCACCTTGCCATTGTCCTGACTTCAAAAAACGTGGAGTTGGCTCAATTGCAGACAACAAGGGTTTGAAGTTCCTCGTATTTCCTTCAGTAAAGTTTCAGGTTATCTGTTGGCCTGATTACTAGCTAGGCAATATACGATTCAGCCAGACACCTTGGGTGCTAGCCATGCTCACTAATCCTATCGGAACCCCATGACTTTGTTGTGGTTAGAATTGGCAATGCGGATTCATACCATCTTGCTTTGCTTGGGGTGTCCCTACTGAAGTTCCCAGGCAGATGATTCTTGGGCGTGCAGCAGCTTCAGTGTGCATCTGGGATTCCTCCACACCCCTTCTTTCCAGCGCAGGGTACTTCCTTATATGACATGACCCAATCCTGTAGAGTTGGGTAAAGCTTTGCAAGAGCACTCTGAATGCGTCGGGTGAGGGGGGAGGGCTCTTTTTGGAACCGACTATTTCTCTTCTAGTGTAAACAGAAAATCAAACTGTTGTCCTGAAAACTGTCCATACCTTGGAGGTCTTTATTTTGCATTACCCAAGAAGTAGAACCTTAGAAACTGGATTTGTTACTCTTGATCCTCTGGTATTGGATTACTTTCCCTTTGGCTCGAATTATATTTTTTTTCCTGAGATGTTTCAATGCAAAATAAAAAAGAAAAAGCTTAATTTCTCATCATAAATGAGAATGTCTTTCATGTTTTGAAAAATGTTACTTATCAGGTAGACAACTTGAATGTTACACACGAAAATTTTAAGCTAGAACTCGAAACCAGTCATACAGAAAAGATAGATGAGCTGAAGAAGGACTATGAATCATCCCTTTCAGGTAAATTGTACAGCTTATTTGCCCTCATTGTGTTCATTACTGTCTGAGAGCTTTAAAATATGGAATGTTTCTCTGTCAAGCTGTTAAATATTTCTAAAGTAGCCTTCCCCAACCTTGTGCCCTCCAGAAGTATTGGACTGCAATTGTCATTCCCAATCAGTATCACTATTGCCGATGTTGGCTAGGAATGATGGGATTTGTAGTCCAACACATCTGGAAGGCACCAGATTGGAAGAGGCTGGTCTAATGTTGGGGAAGGCTGATCGACTTAACATCTTGGCCCTGGGATGAGATTTTTAATTACGTATCAAACTATGTTTTCCCTACCAAGATTATCATTGTTATTGCCACTTTAACACCATGCATCCTAAGAATTAGAATGAAGACTGCAGTGAATGTTAAGCAGGCACACTTGTGCACATTAAAACTCTCAACATTTTCCAGAACTCAAGAAGACCCATGAATCAGAAAGGGAGACTCTTGATGCATCTTTCCATGAGAAACAAGAACAGCTAGAGGTTTGGAATGTCTCTTACTTAGTAGATACATTTCTAGATTATGTGCTGCCACAGCACCAAAATCTTTAATGTGCCTTGTGTTGGGGGTGTCATATGCTACCCTTCACCATGGTGTGAGAAACCATGCATATTTCTAGTTACTCCTTGGTAACCTTAGCTCAGTTGCCTGAGTAGGATTGTCTACTTGGGACCATTCATCTTCTAAAGCTTGTATGAAGGATTACTGTGATTCCTCATTCCCATATCAGCTCTTTCTAACTTGTGCCCACTCTGCCTAGCTTGATAGTATTTCCTAAACTGTTTCTTGGCATCATGTGAGAGACTCAGGTCTTATATGTGACTATTTTTTTAATCTTTCAGGAAAAAATTGGAGAATTACAGCGTGAAAATGATGCTTTGAATGAAAAGCTTAAGTTGGAAGAGCAAAAACGTATAGCCAAAGAAAAAGCCAATCTTGTATGTATTGACTTGATCTTATACCTTATGTCTGGACAACGTCTGGATAAACCTAGAGGTCTTTTAGTCCTACACCTTTTGAAAATTGGGTTGTTTGATCTAACATAGACATTTTTCTGCAAGGATTCGGGGAATATCAGCATTCTCCTGTTGAGGAAAGAGAGAGGCATCCTTCACCTCCTTGCTTCTTCCACACTGTGGAAGGCTAAATCTCTTGCACCTGCTTATGCAGAGGAAAGGCTGGGGCATTGCCAGGATACATCATACCCTGCTAGAGCCTTGTTACTACATGCCCTCCAGAAGCCCCCCCCTCCCAATCCGCCCCCGGCCAGCACTGGGGCACAGGTGTCTCTTGCAGCCTCAGAGCTGCAGCCAATACATGAAAACCTCTGAATGTTGAGTCTCACCTCCAGCCTCAGCACATTTCTGATGCTCAAGTGCTCCTTTGGCTCTATATTAGGCATAGATTGCATCCTTAACTGTACAACAAGGGAACCTTTTCCTTCAGAGGCAAAGAATGTACATTTTTCTATCTTAAATCTTTGACTTTTTTGAATTTTCACTTCTAACTAAATGTCCAAAATGTTGAACATCAAAAATCTCATATTAACTAATAAATTGCTACTAAAATTAATGGACACCTTCAACTTATAGTTCATAAGCTTAAAGGTGGGCTGCCCCAGGTTGATTGCACCATTTTGCATTTTAAGAAGAATAAAGAGAAAAAGAATAACAAAGGAAAAAACAAACACAGAGATAAGAAGTGTCTTCCACATTGCAGGTTAGGCTTTTAGGTGGATACTTTGTCTAACAATGTTGAAACCTGATATAGGCTAATCTTCCATATGGATTATTTTTAAACAACTTTTGATTTTGATTTAAAAAAAAAAAAAAAACTTAAACTCAATTGCTAAATACACATTGGTGTGATGTCTGTTTGTGTGTGCCACATCTAGCCATCCATCCATCCAGCATTTAGTCAGTATTTTCCTAGATTGATTTTCTTAACTTGTTTTCTTGAAAGTTGGCTTTCTCTGTTGAGATGTTCAGATATTAGTCTTTCAAAATGCATCCTACATAATAAATTGTTACACATACTATTGGCTAAATTTAAACTGGAAAACATTGAATGCCCTTCTCTCTTAAAACATTTGTCAGCTTTTGGTTTCAGAGTCCTACCTGCTTATGACTGTGACTGTTGCTTTTCTGCTTAGTTCTTCGGTTTTGTATGTTACCTGGTGCCATTTACATACACAATACAACGGAAACTGTGCCTGGCTAGAGGACTCTGGCCCTACAATATGGGTACATACTAATTCTGAGGCTGATCCATTGCTGTAATTAGCTAACCAATGTCCTTCACAAAACCTTCCCATGCTCACCTTAATGGAGAATAGGATCTTAGGAAAAGAGAAGCTTAAGCAGTTGCAGTTATAGGGAAATGATTCAGGTGTTCAGACACTGACCTTTTAAAAGAAAGTGTTTCTTGTTGTCTTGGATCTTTTTTCAGTGTAACTTGATTTCTTATCTGAGACCCTTTGATCTCTCTTTATACTGTTGTGTATGTGTTGCGAAACTGAATAATTTATGCTACTATTTGAGGCAAAAATGGCTAGAAGAAAATCTAGGGTATTTTGGGGAATACCCATTTATCAGTAGTGCTCTCTGAGAATTTTTAATGCTAAACTTTAATCTGAATTGGTAGTGTCCATAAACTACAAACACAGTTTTTGCTTCTAACTGTATTTAAAATAGCACATCCAACATCATTGCTTTTGTTCAAGAATATATTGAATCTCCATAATTTTTAAACATAATGCAATTATGAACAGAACAGACTTTCGTATGTTCTCTCACCACATGATGTCTTCCTGGGATTTCGGATTAGAAGGCCACATAAAAGTTTCTTGCCAGGTATATTTTCCTTTAGGTTGTCCTATTAATTGTTTTTAAAAGGCAGCAATAGAGTAACATTATAGAATCAATTACACCAATAACATCATTCTATAAGAGTAGATTCCATTTTGAGCTTGGGTATTTTTGGCCATATTGTAGGCTATATTTTAAATATATTTTTCATTTTTTCTTCCTTGCCCATTTTTAATTTGATATAATCTATAATCAGGCAATACTGTACAAATTCCAAATACATTCAGTGCTCATAGCAATGTTGAGGAGCCCCCTAAGCTATTCTAAATGTACTTTTTCAGAAAACCCCTCAGATCATGTACCTGGAACAAGAACTGGAAAGTCTGAAAGCAGTGTTGGAGATCAAGAATGAGAAACTACATCAGCAAGATATCAAACTGTTGAAGATGGAAAAACTGGTGAGGTCGCAACTTGAAGTGGTATTCGTCCAAAATCTGGATTTGTTCTAAGCATGCAGAAATAAGGGCTGCAGACAGTTAAATTACAATTCCACCCGGCAGTAGTATTTTGACTTTTAAGGTCCAAGAGAAAAAAATAAAGCATTTCATCTTATGGCCAAGTATGCAGTCATTCCATTCCATAGAAAACCTAAATTATGATCGTCCATAGCGAACATCAGTGAAACTCATGCATTCTCCCCTCCCTCTTTTGCAAGCCTGGGAAAATAATCATGTCTTAGTTTTTCACTCAGTTAAGAAATAGACTTTTTAAATTCACTTTCCTGACTTGAACTAGGAAGATCACAAACTGCATGTGTTCTGTACTATACTGTTCGTATGTAAAGAAGAAAGCATTCGGGCTAATCAACTTACACTAGTTTATCAAGTTTGAAGTTTTAAAATAGTGTAGAGTAATGTAAGCCAAGCTCTGTGAGCCTGTGATCCCTGCTTGTCCTTAATCCAATTCTTTTCACTTTCATTTACTGAATACTCTGCACAGGAATGTGTGTTACTGGATATTTCCACGTTGAGCCTGATGAGTCCTGGCCCAGCTTGGAGCCCTTGGAAGTAATTGATACAGATTTGCAGCAAGATGGAAAACTTGGCTTTTAAAGGCAGAAGAAACCCAGTGGGAAGATCCCAAGCAGTTTCTAACATGAAATGAGAGTTGGAGTAGTCACTGGGATGCACAAAGGGCTTCTTTCCTTTAAACTTGAAATGGCCAATCTGTTAAGCTCTACTAACGAAGCCCCATATTGGATGACTTCTAAGCAAAGGGCACAGGTTGTCCTGTGAAGTTAATAGTATAAGAAAGAGGTGCCTTTTTGTCTGTTTTGCACAGATTTTTTGCCATCGCCAGGCCAGGCCAGGCCTAAGGCAGAACAGCAGATGGTACCTTATCTGCCTCTTCAAGTCAAGGCGCATAGTATCCAAAGCCAGCCAAGTTATTTTGGTGCCTGAGGTAGCAGATCCTATAAGCACCTTTCCCCTTACCTGGCGGCAGCCGTACAATACAAACAAATCGCTAACCAACTGCCCTTGTCTGACACCGGAACTCGGTTGCCTCACATGGCTTCATAGTAGATCCAGCCCTGGCCATGGCAAAGGACCAATGTGTATCATAAGCATGTGAGATTCTTGGTGGGAAATCTTGTGAAGCAAGATGAGAAAGACTGTTTTATTAAAAGGCCACTTAGATTGACCACTGAATCCTATACCTCATTTTTTAAAGCCTCCCTTTAAAAGGCTAGTGAGCCTAAACCTCACTAAGCTTGGGGATTGTCTGGAGCCCAACACATGGAGTCAGAATGGAAACACTTTAGTGGGCCTAGAGCCCAGCTGCAGTGTATTACCATGAGTAATAAACTGAGTGAAATTGTAGGTCATGCATGTGGATTTTTTAAAGCAAACTTATTTCCTTGTTTGCATAAATGTAGCATCCAGGTCTTTTAAGATTCTGCTAGAGTGATTCAAAGGCTGAACAGAACAAGCAACATTCTGAACTGTATATTTAGGCCTAGATAGAGAATGCTTGCTCAGGAAATTCTAGGACATAGGTTAGCAGCTTCTCAGGCTCAAAGGGGCATTGCCTCGGGCCCCGATTCCCCTGGACCCCACTGAGGGCAGGATCTCAGTATACTGCTGCTTGTGCTGCTAAAATTTGTCAGGGCAGCAAAAGCTGGCAACTTTCTTTAAAACAAGGAACATGTGATTCTTTGGAAGCAAAGCTGTGCTTGTAGGCACATGCTCCCTGCACCCTGTGTTTTAAAGCAGTGTTTGACTTTTTGCTGCCACCAGTTTGACACACCAAAGGTGCTGGGGCAACACACACATGAGCTCTCTGGGTTGCACGTTCTCCCCCTAAGGGCTATGGGTAACAGTCTGAGAGACAAATGTATGCCTCCACATGTCACATGCTCCTCCAAGAGCTACAAATCTCAGTGTCTTAGTTGTTTCTTCTGCAGTGTACAGACAAGAGAAGCCAACCGGAAGAAGGAATAAATATTAGAATATTTGGGAACACTGAGGTTTCGGGCACTGTGACAGCTATGCTCTGGCATGATGCAGTGGTCTTCGAGTATATTTGGGTTTGGCCAGTAGTCTTCAGAGTTATTGATGGTTGGTACCATGACGAGAATCATATCTAAAGGACATTGGATACTCAACCGTGATTTTTATATTTATATTTGAATAGTTGTTATATCACTTTTAGGATGGCTTCATCCATGGAAATAGAGAGGTAGAAACAAGTTTAAGCAAAAGGAATTAAAAGAAACAAAGACAGCAACCCATTTTTTTCCTCTAAGTTCTTTCTTACCAAGTTTTCAAGGCAGGCTAGACCCGATAAGGGTTGTGGAGGGTTCTGTTGAGATGGAGTCTGCAAGTTTTTGCTAGGCCTAGAGAAATGACTTTTGGCTCTAGGGTCTTAGTGGGAGCACAACCAAGTAGCAGCAGGCTTATGTTACCTGGCATCCCACTTCTGCATTTCCTTCTCCCCCTGACCCCAGGTATGTGTATTGACAGGAAGATCTTAATCATGTTACTGGCCAACTCTACCAACTCTGTATTGCTTTCATTATTGTTCTGAAATGCTCTGATCTTACCATATTTCTACTCCTTCCTTCAAGCATGGGATTTCTTTCCATTTCCTTTTTATAACAGCCCTGTTCAGCCAGAGAGCCCCAGGGTCATCCTGTGAGGTCATGGATGGAAAATCTGAATGTAGATTACATCAGTTCAGGCCTTTCCTGGTTCAGTACAGTCCATGTGACCTTAGTTAAATAAATTGCAAGGTGGTTGGTTTACAGTTTACACCAGAGTTGTTTCTAGTAAGGGAATCACATTCTGGGCAGTGATTTAAAAAAGTGACATGTCTGAAGATGCTTGCTTCTTCGGTTTGACATCATCAAATTCTTGCAGCACCTTAGAGGTGTAACAATTTGGCATTAGCTTTCATGGAATGAAGTCCATCAGATACAACAAGCTATCAGAGCTCCATTTTATTAACTTATTCTTGGAGCCCTACACTGAATGAGCACTTGACTTCATATAAAATTTCTAAAAACATAAAATTTGCACATTTTATCTAAGGTGGAGAACAACGCTGCCTTAATGGAGAAAATGAGAAAATTTCAGCAGGAGAATGAAGAATTGAAAGCTCGGATGGACAAACACATGGAACTTTCCAGGTACCTTAAATAATTCATTCTGATCGGTCTGCTCTGTTGAAGAGCCATAATGCTTTGGTGTGATGGGAGACATAGGCAGGTCAGGTGCAAAGAAATGTTCCAAGCTACCCTGAACCAAATGTACTGCGGTTGGTCCCAAGCTAAAATAAGCAAGAGCATAGCCTGCACTCAGCATCGATATGGAGCTGCTCTGTTGCAAGCGCCTCCAAGTTGGTGCCCCCCAGACATTTTGAAGTACAGCACTCCTCATCCGTGGCTAGCATGGCCATGCAAAGATGATCAATGAGGATGCAACTGGAACATTGCATTGCACGTCTCACTTGAAACTTACTCATTCCCAGCTTTCCTTTTCTCTCAACAGGCAACTGTCCACTGAGCAGGCAGTTTTACAAGAGTCTCTGGAGAAAGAATCCAAGGTAAATAAACGCCTGTCCATGGAGAACGAAGAACTTCTGTGGAAGCTACATAACGGAGACCTGTGCAGTCCAAAAAAACTATCCCCTAGTACTCCACCAATGCCTTTTCAGTCGCCAAGGAATTCCAGCTCCTTCTCCAGCCCAACTGTGTCACCGAGATGACACCACTGTAAGGAGAGACTCGCTGTACAAGCATTTCATTCATGCTCTGCAGAACTAAAGACAAAGATCAAGGGAGCAAAGAGCTATATGAGCTGCATGTGACTGAAATGTAACTGGAAAACTACTGCTGTGAGAAATAACTATAACATACGGAAAAGTTCAGGAGTAGGATTCAACACAGTGCTCCTCCAAAAAGACTTCAGTAGTATCTTCTCTGAACATTGTTGCACAAAGCACTTAAAAGAGCAAGAAGAGTCTTGTTCATTATTGCCTTTTTCACCTAACTCTAGGGAAAAAATGCTCAGGGGCTTATAAATAAAAGATCACAACCTTTAATATGTTCCTTATTATAGAAACCTTCTTGTGACTCTGGGTGTGGCGTGAATGAATTGTATGTAGCACACAGTAAGTGTGTGTGTGTGTCGGATGCCGCCGCCTTCACCATGTATATTATAAAGGACAAAAGCTGGAAGAATATAGTGACAAGTACTTCATGAATAAAATATTGTCATTATGCATGTTTTATCAAAGATTTCCCCCCGCACTGGGACTAAGGAAAAGCCACCACTTGTGCTATATGTTCTTCCTAATCCCTCTACTTCAGTTTTAGTAAAAAGATGAAAGGAGAAGCTATTTTTGCTTGATTTTTGTCATTGTCTGCCTACTTCATAGTGGAATTTATCATGACATCATCTCTTAAAACATAACACGTTGTTCAAAATATTTTAGGCAACCTCATTTATCAACCACACTAGCTACAGTCCCCTCCTTCCCTCTTTCTTTCTTTTTAAAAAGTGGTAGAAAATCAGACAGGCAGCCAACAGCTGTAGAAAGAAAAGTGCAAAAACAAGGAGATGATTTTACCCAAGACGACAGTTTTTCAAAACAAAAGAGAAACTTGTAGATCTACTGATTATTTTTTTCTTCTTCCTTGCATTGTGAGGAGCAAACAGTCTGAATTGATAACATTGATGTGCACTTTAACTAGCTACCATCACATGGAAAATTCCTATGTAGTTCCTATGTAACAGATTTATCCACCTTTTATAATTGGCTGCAGGACTGCATTCTCAGTTTCATCAGGCTGGAGGCTTTCTCTTACTTCCTTGAATTGGTGATGCAAAATGTCATTGTTTTGCTGAATCGATATGCGGAAGATGTTACTGTCATGGTTAACATTTAGTACTGTATTACAAATTTAAAGATGACATAGTGCATGTCTGCTCTTGTTAATGACCTATTCAACATTTATTTTGGTGCTTTGACATGTCTTGTAAGTACAAGCGCACTCTTTATTAAGATTAAATATTGTCTCTGCTTTCAAGTATAGAAGGAATGGATAAGTGCTAAGGCTACACTGCTGTACCCCAGAACGCACTGATGCTGCCTTGGCTGTTAAATAGTCAACTTGCTAGCCAAAGGCTGATGAGCTCATGCTGTTATTTTTGCAGCAAAGATCTCAAGATCTACCAGAAATCATTGCCTCTTCCAAAAAACCGAAAGGGTGAGTCTTGGGGAAAATTGGTAAACAAAATGTCAAACCAAACATTTTGTCTAGGTTGCAAAAACGTTGGCTGTAAAGGAGGAAGGTTTTAGTTGTTCTGTAATTATGGAAGTGCTCTGTAATATGAAAAATTCAAGGCTGAAATACTTTAATTTTATATTGTATAAAGTGTGCCTCCCCCATGGAACATTTTACTTGCCCACCCCCATTTATGGCACTATACACGCCACTGTAGCTAGAGATGTCAGCACTTCTAAATAAGCTGTTGTCCAGAGACTGATTTATATAACCGTGAAAATCCGCTGTAGGCTCAAACTTGGCTTAAAAGTATGTCTTGGAGCAATTTATTTCTTTGGCAAAGTCATATTTGATCATATGTACTGAGTGTTAAAAATTGAAATAAATTTTTTTTACCAGTTTAAGACTCTGTTCTGATTATATATAACAACACCGAAGCAAAAGTAGTGTAAATGCTAAATGGCAAGGAATTTTTTAATAACTATATGAGGAGCATGCTGTCCAGTGGCTGATCCATTTGGGCAACCATGGCTATTCAGGTTGAGCTTGCACTTGAAATTGGTGACATCAAAATCGTAATTGAAGTTTCCATAAGGCTGCTTTTTGCTGCCTGAGAGGAAGAGCAAGATGCAGTCTTCCCCATCCCTGCCTCATTTCATGCACAAGAGCCATCTGGACCAGGTCAGACTTCAGCACTGGTGCCAGGACATCACCTTCCAACAATAAAGCTGCTTTGTTCTGCCTTTTGGTAGGGGTGGCCCTTATTGCAATGATGTGGAAGAATAATGATGGAAAAAGCTAGATTTTCATAATAAGGACTGTAAGCAATGGCGTTCTCCAACATCCATTTTGCAACTTCTACTTTTCCATTGAGTGTTTCGAGTTGTATTTCAATCTCCTAAACTTTTTGTTGGGAGACGTAACTATCCATATGTAGATCAAGCTATGTGAGGCTGATGTAAAAACTATCTTAGAGATTGCATTAGAGCTTCTTACATTATAGAAGCTGTGCATTGTGTCCTGTGCATTGGGCTCAATCTTCTTTGGAATCTCAAGGAAAGTGATATGCCGGGTCTGGGTTTGCTTACAAGGAGATTTATTGAGTAAATTGAAGAACTTAACTATGCTAGCTTGTTCTCAATCAGTAAACAGCAAGGCTCCTATCAGCTAGAATGGATGGTCAGAGAAGCCTGCTGCTCTGAGCAAGATGTCCAGAGAGGGCCTTGGGCCAAGCTCCTTGTTATGCTCTCTCTGCTGCTAATGCCATGAAGCCTTGCAATATAGCTCAGGCAAAAATAGCATGAAAGTTTCTCACCTGAGCAATCCAGCTGCAGCTAGGCAACCTCCCGATATGCAGCATTACAGGGAGGACTGGCAGATTTCCACAGGCACCAATTCCACTTGAAATCAAAGCTGGTTAGGTGCTGGAATGAAGCTCTTGTTATAGCTTCTGATAATTGTTGGTGCTTCCCTGCCTGTCCGTATGACCACTTAGATTAAGGTACTAATGCAATGAACCAAGGGGTTTTGATTATCACTGAGAACTGAGTTTTCAGAGAGCAGCAACTGCTATAAGACCTAGAAATGGAACTGTGATTGTCCCACTGCCTATGATCCAACTCAACCCACAGGTAACTGGTGGTCCCAAATGGGGATGGCTGTCTGGAAGAGGTCTTCAGCCAGTTCTGTGGGATGCTGATGAGCATTGTCGGGGCAGGGATGTGGATTCAGGGGCACGCATCCCCATCTACTCTTTCTGTGTGTATAGAAGATACCTCCTGCTGATAGATACCCTGTGCCAGATTAGAGGGTTCTATTCCAAAAAAAACAAAGTAGATTTGGGTTCCTCAGGGTTGCTGTTTTTTTAATGCCGCATACCTGACTGATCATACAGTAGCTTAGTGAAGTTCATTTGGCTGTGGTGCGGAGGAGGGCCTTCTCAGTCATGGCTCCCACCACATAAAATGATCTCCCCATGGAGATCAAGTGCGCTTCTGGTATGGACAACTGAAGCCACACTTCTTAGCCTACCGCTTCTCTAATTTCTCTGTGGCAGCTCTCCTAACTATTTTTACTGCTGTTTTATCATTGCTTTATAAATTTTATCATTTCATATTGTGAATGATGTAATTAATTTATATTAAATGAAAAGCAATATAAATTCTTTTAAAAATAAAATAAAAAGCGAAATACATAGATCAGGAGAGTCTTACATGTTGCAGAAGTACACACATCAGCTCATTCAGGGAAGATAAGAATGAAATGATTTGATTTTCTCACTTTTCACCGACTCTCATTCCAAATAAATAATGGAACTATCTTTCAGGAGCATTATGGCAACCTGTTATCTTGTACTACTGTGTGTAATTATTTTCTGTAGGATTTGTTCCAGAACAAAACACACACATCTGTACCTTGAGAGCTCATTTAATTAAAATGTAGAACACCATGGTCTTCAGATATTTTTGGAGTCATTTTTCCCATCATCCCCTCCCAGTGCTGAGGGAAGATGAGATGAGTAGTTCAACCTCCAGAGGGCGGATTCTGTTTCTTACACCCAGCTTGGTAAGCATACTAATATATGCACTGCACTTACTGCAGTACAGTATGGCATGCGTGCTGTGCTGTGATCAGTATGCATGCACAAATTTTTGTGAACTGGCACACAAGTCGAGATCTGAATCAAGCATCTAGAACAAAGACAAAGGGAATAAGAATGATCAGCTATACAAATGACATTACTTCATCCAGTAAAAGGAGGGAGTAGCAAAGGAGCCCCATAAGCAAAGCTAATGGTGTATGTAAACCATGTCCTTAAGCAGTTGCTTCTTACAAAAGCATCATGCATAATTATTGGTCATCTTTGTTCAGAAATGTGAATAATGTGCGAGCTCCCATGACAAATACCAAAGCCATGACTTATAAAATTAGTCTCATGTGTTAGTCATCTGTGCACTCTTGTCAATATCATTTTTTAAGATGATACAATGCATTTGGTAAGCAAGAAGCAACAGCCTTGGCTATCTTCTATATCACAGTAAACTGTAACTTCAATAAGCAGGTGGGGCCTACAACAAAACCTTGCAGCGAGGAGTGCCCTGTTCAATTTCAGTTGATCAGTTATGTGTCCTCCACGATACTGCACTCTAGCTCACCCCCCCCCCAACGGTTTGACAAGGAACATACGCAGAACTCGCTGGGACTCTTTCTAGGGTTTGCCTCTTCAGTGTGTTTTTCAAGAGATTTTTTTCTACTTCCCCAACCCTCTTGTTGTGGGACTCACTCACCTCTGAATGTAGAACATGACCGGACAGTGGAATGAACATTAAGGAAAATAATTGCCAGGGTTGGAGCCTTTTTGAGTGCTTACTGGTAGGACTTGAATACTTTTTGTTGAACATCTTGCAGCATATACGGTATACTGGAGAATATATCAGTTGTCTTTTTTTCTTTGAACATAATTATAAGAAATACACTTTAATATAGCGAAATGATAAGACATGGGGCTATAGGACTTTTATTTGCTTAACCTCTTCCAACTAAGTGGACTTCACACTAACCTGACCACTTTAAATTCTGCAGATATTCCCCCTTGTACTAAACTAGAAGGCTTTTCCCAATACTGGGAAGTCAAACCTGCTGACAGAGAGAGATTAAATTGCTGTAGACTGTTCTTTCCTAACTAGGTCATACTTGTTGCCTTGGGCAGCAGTGACTGTAGATGGAACCCAGGGAGCATGGAAGAACAGCGTCTGGTTTAATAGGAAGGCGGGCACAATTCAGAAATGGTATAATGCAATCTCTTCAGGAGGCCTGATTGCCTGGCATAATGCACCTTTATAAGGTGTGGCATCTTCACAGGGCTGCTGTGGTTCTGGATCTCTGGAAAAGTCTTAGAAGTTGTAGTCCTGCACATTTGAGCTAGTTGAATTCCCCGGAATGCTGCTTGTAAATATGATTTGGGACACGTCAACCCCTGATCCTTGTCTGTCCAGTGAGTCTTTTGAGTGGTGATAAAATTGTTCAGGCCTTTTTAGGGGATAATGCAATCCAGTGCCTTCCTGAGTCCCAGATTGTCAAGGAGGAGGCATAACATTAGTCAGAGTTCCAAGTCAAAGGTCCCATGAGCTTGGAGCTGGGACTTTAATGCCAAGCCCCCACCCTGCTCTCCTTTAGAGCTGATATGGAAAGAATGCCATTGACTCACTCCACAGAGTGGCTTTGGATAGGATGAAAAAAGGTGCGTGACGGGGTGGGGAGGTGGAACAGAAGCTGCAGTGGACAATCTCTTTTCCTCCCTCTCCATGACACATCATTTAGATGGCCGAAACAAAAGTATCTAGAGAAAATGCTGAGCATGAGATGGCAAAGATGGCCGCCACTGTGCCTCACATCTCGCACTGGATGCACACACCTTTCTCTTCCCAAAAGGCTCAGGTGGAATAGCTACACGTGAAGCCACATCCAGCTGTATAATTCAACTAGCACAAGTGACGTTATACTAGCAGAAGCATGGCTCTGAAGAGGAGAAGCCAACCAAACCTACATTGGCAGAAGTGCAGTTATGCCACTGGCTGCACAGTGAAATGATCTGGCAGAACTCTGCTGGTGCTACATGGAGTGACACTTTTGGATACCGCCCATAAGCATCCGCAGGTACAAGCTGGTGACTTGAGGCCCTCTTGCCGTTGCAGGACTGCAGCTCCCCAGCCAGACTTAGCCAACACAGCCAATGATGAGAACGATGCGAACTGCAGTCCAGCGTCATATAGTGGGCCACAAGTTGGCTGCCTGATTAAAATGCAAAAGATTCAGCATTCTGAATTTTCTTTGAATCACATGTTTACCATTCCATCTACACTTCAGCATGGTACCTTTTATGGGATACCATACGGTGGGGTACTTCCTTCAAGAAAACTAAATAATCTATATCAAGCTATACCCTAAAAAAGATGAGAGAGAATGGTTAACTATAGTAAAAAAAAAACCTATGGATTCCAAATACTTAAACTTGCAAAATATTTTATTTGTTCAACGTGTAATGTTCTTAAGACACCAACATCAGCTGTGATGGTGGCTGCAGCAGCTGAATATACCTAAGAAACCTATTAAAATTCACATACTGTTGAAACTACAGCAAAAGTATTTTATGCTAATGACTAATTCTGCTGGGGGAGGGGGAAAGGACATACATCTTAGAGTAAAATAAGGGTTAAATTCCAATCCTCCAAGAGAAACACCCTTTTGTGAGTGAACATTGCAACTGATCTTTTCCTTTTCCTGTGTGCACAAGAAGGCAAAGAACAAACTAAAATACAGTATACTTTTCCTGTTAATTTATCCAGCTTTAAGGCTGTAGCTTTAGCATCATGAATGATTATTGGGGAAATTTTTAAGAAATTGTTTGTTTCTTTAAAAGTGACTTTCTTATCCTTCTTTCAGCGATCTTTACAACAAACAGACCATGCAAGATAAGTCAGTGTTTCCATCATGAGCCCAGGCAGGAGGAGGCTGGGCAAGCTAATGACTTCGGTGGCTAAGGTCACTGAACCCCTAGGCTCATGGAGAAGGTGGGATCTGAATTAGGGATTGTTGAACAAGTCACTGTTCTTTTCATAATCAATTAACTGGGGGCCAGGAATGGAATATATTAACATTTGTTCCTACTTAGATCCAGTTCAGACTTTCACGCTAGCGAGCAGCAGTCCAGTCCATTTCCTGTTCTGGTTTGCTATCCCGAGAGCTCAGAATGTCGTCGTCATCTCAATATAGGCAGCTACCGTGGTCTGTCCCCGAAGGTTCTGAGCTATGCAAATGTAGTTTCCAGCATCAAGGGTCTCAAAATCTTCAATAGTGATAACACTCTCAGAGATTCTTGTGGTATGACCAATTCCTCTGTCGATCAGCCTCCAAGAGTCTTGGATAACCACAGGCCTTTCGTGCTAATTGGAAAACACCCACATAACATAAGTAGTAGAGTACAGGTCACTATATTATACTGAATTTTATTAGTAGCATTTCAAGCTGGTGCCCAGACCTGTTGAACTGCAACCCCCATCTTTCCCAGCCAGCCACGGCTGGAGGACGAGTTGACATAAAGAATACGCAGATGTTTTCATCAGAATTACAGAACCATTAAGGGAAGTGACTGAGGCTGCTAGTCTGAAATAGAATCACCTACAAAAAAGATGTTTCTGTTGGAACTGTAGCGGCTTCTGTTTTTTAATTCACATAAGCCACATACAGGCAGCTTAATTTGGGGATTTAAATGAGATTCAAGTGGATTTTAAGCAAGTTTAACATTAAGAGGCAATGAATGTGGCACCAGGACTTGCTCACAAGTGTACACAGGAATGCAGCCTTAGGGTTGGAGCTAGGCTTATTCATGGTTACAGATACTCACCGAATTCAATCAGCATTAATCATGGCTAAAGTCCAACTGAGTTCAGTGGGTCTGTTGTGAGCATGCCTAAATCTAGAGCCATTTCATTTGAATTCTCAAAGGCACGATACGCAGATGTCCAGTTTAAATGCCTTGGAGACTCCAGTTAATTGTCTTACTTTTTTTAGTTTAAGCACCTGGTGCCTCATGTGAGTTCAACACATGCTGATATAAAGCAATATCCAGGATGTTAAAAACTCGATCCTTTAAAGACTACATCATGCATAAGGGGGTTGAAGGTACTCTCCACTGTGGCTGACTGAACTTTGTGATCTCCTCACCCTCCCAAATATTGAGATGGCTGATTCAATGTAAAGATGAGGAGGTGAAAAATGTCACAGTTCCTTAGAGGATGAGGATAAGGAAGATGTTGCAATTCCTTAGAGGATGCCTGCGCCTTCCACCCTGCACTGCCACCCCTGCAAATTAGAGTCTCAGCTCCAACCTATCCTACAGCCTCCCAGACCATGTTGGGAGGCCTTAGGATTGCATCAAAAGGTATTAAGATTTATTGCATAATTGTCCTACTGATGTTTGTGTGAGTAAATCTGCATAAAGAACTAGGTGCAGCATTTTGGAACTTCAGGCACATTTAATTTTTTTATGGCATTGTAATATTTTGCACTCCAGTAGGCAAATCTTTTTATGTTGCTAGTCATGTCACCGTAAAGAAGCTTTACTACACATTTAATTTTTCAGTGAGTCAATAACTGCAACTATTTAAAGTTGCAACAGTGATGTAGTTGGACTGGTTCTTAAGCAAACCAGAAACTCAACATTTTCAGTTAGCCATCTGTTTCTCTAAAAATAGTATTCTCGAACAAGGCTATTTATCATTAGCTTTATCAAGTCTGATTGTGTTCCGCAGTATTAAAGTACATCTCAAAGTTCAACATTGCACACTTTTGAACCACAACTTGTCTATGTACAAATTCCAGACAGTACAAATCAGGACACCCTTGGTTCAGGCGCTCTTATTTTATACAGTTCTACAAAGATCTAATCTCAGAACGGATCCTTTCAGGGGTAAAAAGAAAAGGATATGCTCAAAGCATGCATGTTAAGCCTCCCAGCTGCCATGCTCTTGATAATTTGCCTTACCATCTTTCCACGGCCTATTCCTCAAATACGCTTTACAGCCTAAATTCCCCTCAAAACCAAAGCCATAAAATATATTTACATAGACTGCTTAAGCCTTATTAGGTAAATATTAATCACTCTCCACTCAAGACTTCTCCTAATCCATTCCATTCCACTGCTTAGAACAGGGGCCTGCACCTCCCATGTTCGATCACCAAGCAGGCTGATGAGTCCTGTGTCTGTGGTGCCCCCCTGCTGCCACTTCAGCTTTTCTTTGGCACTTTATAAGTTATTCATGGCATTGAACTCCATCTCTGAAGTAGGTTCAGCACCATGAAGAACTCCTGTGAAGCTTAGAATAAAAGCTGCAATGGCTACACAGCCCCACTGACATCGGAGTCACCAGCTTCCCCTGCCAGACACCCACTGGCTATGCTCACTAGGGCTGACAGGGGTTATGAGCCAAGCATCTGCTCACCCTGGATTAGAAGTCTGCCCTGTGAATGAAGCTATGGCATGATGACTTTAATTGTGACCCTTCCTTGCTAGGGATACTATCACTATTTTGTGATACCCTTCTAAGCAGTAGTTGTGCTCTACCAGTGAAAGAAAACAGAGCAGCATCATTAGCAAAAACTGGACTCTTCTATAAAATGTTTCATTATAATCAATGAATGAATCTGACCTCACTCATTCGCATGTCACACATACAGTATGAGCAATATCTACCAACTCGGGGCCAAAACAGACATTAAGGTTGGCACAGGCCCCATGACAAGTCAAAGTGGATTCTTGAACGGTATGGTCTGTTTCACAGTTTGAATCCTGCTATGGTATTTTGTCATGGTATGTTTGGTTTTTAGAAACCGGGATAAGAAACAACGGTATGTTCTAGGGTTTCCATACTTCCCCACAGTTTCTCCAGTTGTCTGAACCTGGCAATGAGGTTTCCATGGTCCTGGAATGCAGAGGCCCCTGAAAAGAATGGCCACTGCAGGGACTGCTCCAGCCAGCTAGTGTGAAATTGAATTTCAGGAACAGTGGCTGATGGGACATGTGCCAACAGTGGGAGGACTGAGCAAGGAGGGAGGAAACCACGCCAGCATAAAAACCAGTTGAGCATCTGTCAGGCACATCCAGGCAAAAACCATGGAAACAACGCAGGCTTGCTCATTGTGAACCCAGCCCATCAGCGATGGGTTTTTTTAATGTCCTTCCACTGACAGACATAGAATGCTTTATTTAAGAATACCTTTAAGTGGAAATTGTGTATGGTGGGTTAGGTGATGCTTTTAATAACCCTTTCTCCCTGTGATAGTCATGCTTTAAATGCATTTTATGGTTTTAATCACTTTTAATTGGCTCTGTAAGCTACCCGAAGTGCCAGTTTTTGGTAGAAAGGTAGGATACACATAAAATAAATAGTTCCTAGACCTAGAGTTAAAGTAATGTCTGTTTTAGCTCTCCGACTCTTTTTGAAGAAAAGCAGAGGACCTGCTCACAAATGATGGCAGTTCCTCACGGCATAATTTACCCACAAAGACTGTTGTATTTTGCTGGGCATTCATGGGAACTGTTTTTGCAGGATGCCCAGCTTGCTGTGTCCTGTGAAGCCAGCAGCAGAGGTTATTTGAGGGTCAGACATGAGTTATTTTAGGGTTGCCTAATCCTTAAGCGACTCCTGCTGCCTGGGTTTACATGACAGAACAAGCCAAAGCAAGCAGAACGCCATGCAAAACTAGTGCCTGCAGCTTCCTGGAGCAACAGAACAGCACACTGTGACTTAGTTTACCTGTGGGCAAATGAAGTGTAGCAGGCTGCTGAGTGATATGAACTAGGTCACTGAGATTACAGGTGGATCTAAAACTAAAGTATAACATTTTCAGCTTGATAAAAAAGGAAACCTCAAAAGGGTAGGTTGCCCTGAAAAATAATAGTTTGACATTTTTCCTATTGCTATGGAAAAGGAAGTGAAGGAATCTTTTTTTCTAGTAGAGTTTCCTAGAAAAAAACATGCTTGACAGATACTTGCATAATCTATTCTTGGATGCTAAATGCAGTCTATAACAGACATTCTACCTCCCAGCTCGTCTAGGTAGAGCTTTAATGCCCTTTCCATAGGCCTTTTTTGCAACAACACTGGGGCATCTTTCCCCAGCTGTGCGTGGTAATAAAAACAGGTTAGCCTTCAAAATTATTTATTGAATATAAATCTTCTTCTTCAAGACATAAGCAATTCTCCCTGCAGCAAGTGTAAAGTAGTGATTATTCAACACTGTCATTCTGCATGTTCAAATAGTGCTAGCAGAGCACTACTGAATTCATCACAAAAACATCTGAATTCATCTGTGTCGCACAAGCAGTTGGACAATAGGATATACAGCCATAATGTGCAACTACTTCCACAACTCCACTTCTGCAACCGTAACTTTAGATGGCTTGTCCTCTTGTGCACCGTTTGGAATTTAATTTCCACTAGACCAAAGGCATTTGTACTCAACAGAATGACAGGGCAGGATACTGCCCCTTGTCACCACACCTCTCTAAAATCCATTCTACTGCTAGTGCTATGTACATCAAGTTCTATTTTAGCTTCTGAGAAACAAAGAAGCAGCATGTTACCTCTTGTCCAGGATACCTCCAATTAAATTCCACTTCTACATCTGGCTCCCCCAAAACTGTGCACAGAACATTGACATCTTCACCACTTCCTACATTATTGGATGATGCTTTGATCGTAGTTGAAGGCGGGCCACGAGGAACTAGTCAAAAAGAAAAATGAGATAAAATGAAAGGCTCTTCCCCCAAATTAAATTGTAGTGTGGTTGCTAACTTGCCAAAAAACCTCCCACAAAAACAAAAAACACTCATTATGTGCTTAGAGCCATTTCCATTGAAGATTCTGTTAGGATATTGGACCAGAACTGCTTTGGTGGCCTTGGTGAATGACCTGCACTGGGAACTAGATAATGAAGAGGGGCAGCACAACACAATTACCTCACCCAGATGTCCCAGGAGGCTTTGACACCAGCAATCATGGTATCCTTCTGGGCTGCCCCATGGGGCTGGGCCTTGGGGGAACCTTTTGCAGTTTGCAAGCCCTTCTGGTGGGCAGAGTCCTGAGGTTGATGCTCAGGACTCCATGGCGTATGGTGTCCCAGCACATCTAGATCAGAGCCTGCCTATCATTCTGTTTCCCACTATGGCCAATCAGATGCCCTCAGGACAACAGCAAGATGGACACAAGAGCAATACTGTGAGTCCCTCTTTGTTTTTAGAACTCATACTGAGAGACGAAGCGAAACTTATTACTTCATTAAGGATTTACATTAAAATCAACAGTGCAACTGTGTTTCCTTGAACCAGCCCTGCTTCTGAAGACCTCAGAGCATATCCCTCATCCTTTTACATGTTTGTATGTCTGCCCCACCTATGAAAAAGAGTGAAAATATTAAGTGGGCTCAATTTTGTAGGCTAGGTATTAGAGGTGAATGTCAAGTCTGGACAGGCTTTAAAGGATGCATATACAACAGTACAAACAAATGTTTAAGGCACCTTATCAGAGACAATGATGAATGTTTTCATGTCAAAGAATGACATTAAAATTTCCAAGGTACTTGTGCTTTTCCCTGTGAGGCAATTTCATTTCAATAGAGGTTCTGTGGGATACTGGTCTTGCAAAAAGACTCTTGATTTTAAGAGAGCAGAATTGCACCTTGCTCCAGTGAGGTTCCACTAGTAAACATACTTTCAGAGGCATTTTAGTTCCCTCCACAGTTATTTGGGTTGTCAGTGTATTAATGTAATTTGTGTGATCATATGTGGTTTCCTTGTGATGAAACAGTCATCTGGAAACACAGTCAAGCACAGATCACCACTTTTCCCATGTGGGAAAAAAAACTACTCAGGATGGTTTTATACCACTGATCCTGATAGACAAGCATCAAAACTGTCCTGTGCACAGAGCAGCTCACAGTTTACCTTCCACATAAAGCAAATGGTATTTAATGGAAATCTGAGGAGCTCCCCATGAGTCAGCTCTGCAATAAACCACTCCTCTGCTATCAGAAGTTGGGTGCTGATAGATGAAGCCCTTCTTCACGTCATACATAAGGTTGGTTCCATCTGCTTTGATTTCTTCTGCTGGAAACTCCTGATGTAAAGTAACTTTTGCTGATGGGTTGGTCACTCGGCAAGGAATTACTGCCGGTTTATCTGGGTTGAGATAGACCACTTCAAAATAGCTGGGGGAGGGAACAAAGAGCTCCCCTTTATCTGTATGAAGAAAAACAAGTGAGCATTGTGCATGACTACCATAAACTTCTTTGCAATTTTAACTCTGACACTTTAGCAAAAATATGAAGCACAAACGATTTTATTACAATTCTGAGTTTCACTAATATCGACTGATTGTGATTTGTATCCCACCTCCCTCCCAAGAAAAAGGAGATACAAGATGGCTTAAAATTACAAATAATACTTGATATTAAAAATGCAATAAAACACAACAAACCGGGGGCAGGGGGAGCTAGGTCAGCCTGAATAAAAATAAAAGTGGTGAGCCAGTCACCAATTTCACTGTCTGAGTATGGCCACTGAGGAAGGCCCTCAATCATGTTGTCACCAAATGTGCTGCTGAAGATGATGGACTCAAAAAAAGGCTTCTTCTGAAAAACTCAAGACCTGGGTATGTTCATGAGCAGGAAGAAAGTTTTATGGAGTCTGCTCCCAAGCCATATAAAGCTTTATAGGCCATCAGCAGCACTTAGGTTTTTGCTTGAAGACAGACTGGTAGCTGGTGATGCTGTTGTAGCGAGGCAGGCCAGTGCTCCCTGTAACTGACCCTGGACAAGCAAAAGCAAACTGTGTATACTGTATGCCACAGCAGTCCAAATGAGATGCAAGGAAGTGTCCATGACCGTGGTCAGATCAGACAGCTCTAGGAATGGGCACAGCTGGAACACCAGCCTCAGCTGTCCAGCCACACTCTGGGTCACCACTGGAACCTGGCATCCAAGTTCAGAGCTGAATCCAGAAGCATATTCACTCTGCAAGTCTGAATCCAACCATACAATGATATCTAGTAATGCAACCTTCCACGATCTAGTGCTGCCTGAGTGTTTTGACTTCATCAACTCCAGCCAGCATAATCGCTGGTCAAGAATGGCAGGATTGTCATCTAAACCATTTGGAGGGTATCAGATTCTGAAAGGCTGCAGCCGCCTTTCAAAGTAGTTTTCAAAAGAAAAACAACTGAAATGCTTGCTCCTTGCATGTTCCCCAGGGGCCTTATGGGAAAAATGGCTGTACCACAATCCTTTACTCCTTCACTGCATCAGCAGCCTTTATGCAATGGGTCCACTGGGTGTTCTGGCCATATCTTACTTTTGCCTGCTCCCAACAGGAAGTACTCCAACCCTTGCCTATGCTTGTGTTTCAAATAAACATTGTAAACCCAAAATTCCCTTCTGTAGTTTCTGTTTTCGTCTTGTGCTTCCTCTGCAGCTCAATGCTTTCTTTGACTGAGCAAGAAGCAGGTTTTGCTCACTGTCCCCGCCCCTCTTACCACCTTCGCTTGCCAACAAATCTGTTGTTAGGTGGAGTTTAGAGAAAAAGCACATTTCTGGTAGTTCATGCTGAATGTAGCCCTTTTCAGTGACCTATGATAAAATCACCCTTCTGGGCTCAGATGACACAAGGAGCCATTGCCCGTATGAGTACTGCAAAGCAAGCCATGACTTGTCCAAGAAAAAAGCCACTCTGCCAAAACTGCACAGGATTCGGAGGACACCCCAGCTCACCAGAGCTGATTGCCCCTGTTGGGTTGTTGTGTCATCTGAACTAGTTCAGTGTCATGAGTTTCAAGAAAGCAGCATCTCTCTTTTAATTCTGAAATTATGTTTTTTAAATTTCTCAACTTGTACCATTTTTTGCTATTTTTAGCATGACATCCAGCCTAAAGAAGATCCCTGCAAGGCTTGCTGACTATTTTGTGACATTTTAGATTAGTTCTTTTAAAAGGATTAAGCTGCTGATGATTTGATAATTTGCATTGTAATAGTCTAACACTGCTGCACATACTAGATCCAGAGATGAATTCAGTTTAAAGCTGTATTTTATAAACCTTTTCACTCCAAGTTCATTAATTAATGGTTACTTCATTAATTAAGGATATTACTGGGCTTGAAGCATTATGCATCTGGCAGCTTTTCTTATCATGAATGACCACTGACACCATCATTATAGTGAAATTATTTTCAGCTTGGCTTTATTCATCTGTTTTCCTACTTAGACTATTAACCGAGTAAGAATGCATTACTATCTTACCTTCTTTTAGTTTCCTTTGTTTAAACTCATGGTTTCTGTGTATGTTTGCGTGAACACCAGATTTTTACTCATGTATTTTGGGCCTGTAAATCCAACCAACAGTGTTGGCTTCTACAATGTCTTGAGAACATATGTTGCATAGAGAAGCAGAAATCTCTCTCGTTCTCTCCCCCCTCCCTCTCCCTCCAAGTCAAACCAATTAATGGGTCTGTTCACATGACTCAAGAGCCCATGGTTTATTTAACCTTAGTGAAGCTATGGCATGTGTGTCTACCATCTTTAATACTGAACTCCCACTTGGGCTTTTCTGTAGCTGGTGAGCAGCCCTCATATAATATGGGATCTTTTTTGGAGTTACAGAAGGGTTGTGGGGTTATGTGAGCTGAATTCATGTGTCACAAGCCCTGACAGGACTTGCATATTTAACCTGGCATTCACAGAAGCAATGAAATGCAAAAACAGAAATGACCTTCTTTAATTACCACTGATGGATATCTATTCAATCCATTACCTGAAAAAAAGATGTACGTTGAGCCTGTTTTTGACTCATCCTTCTTGCAACTGTAGTCATTACACAGCAGTAGCCAACAGCTGTATTCACCAGTGTCTGCTGCAGTGGAATTTCTCAGTATCAGCTGACCATATCTGTCAAGTTGCTTGATGCTAATAAGAACAAAGACAAAGCACAACCAAATCCAGCTTGTGCTGGTTTCATAATCTCCTGTTACTTGGATTCATTATTTTGATTTAATCTCTCTCTCATTTTCACACCTCTGTTCACTGGAAATTACATATATAAGGAAACAAACCTTTAAAAAAGGAGCCATCTTTCATTGGTAATTTTATCCTTTATGAATGCTAATGTTTTAAATTTTCCTCTGGGAACAGAAGGACTATAATGATCTTCTATTCTTCCTCAACTCTTCATGAAATATTTACATGAGGGCTTCAGTGTATGCAATAATATCCAACTTCCTGCAACCTCTGAAAGAGCTTTGCATGTGAAATATTTCATATCTTTTATTTGTTTATTAATTATACTTGTATGTCACACCCCTTAGTCATAAGGCTCTCTGGGCAGCTTACACTGTAGGGCAGCAGATAAAACAATTCAATTTAAACGAGAGCATAATCAAATAATAAACATGTAAAACAATAAATAAACTAAAATAAAGCATTTGGTTAGTATTTCAGACTTCCAGAAATATGAGAATTTTGCAAGAAAATATGGTTTATCCCAAATTCTAATGTTGCAACATACTAATTTATTCTTACAACAACCATGATTTGTAAGTGAAGCATTCAGGGAGCAAGACTGCTAGACAGAGGCCAGACGGCTATAGGAAAATTTGGAAGCCCAGCTCCAACCTTGGAAATGTGATCTGAGGATTAAGCTGGGACTCCAAGTTTGGCGAGCCCTCCTTCCACCCTCTCTGCTGGCACAGAAAGAACTGTGCTGTGTAGCCCCAAGGATGGAAAGGTGGCAGTAGAGCCAGAGCTGGCTGAGAAGTGGAGCGGGGGTGGGGGGAGCAGGGAGCAGTGCAGTATCAACTGGGATGTGTGTCCTGAGGGCACCTCAGCCTGTCCTCCCTCTAAGCCGTGGAGGGGAAACTTAGGTTGCCCAAATCAGACCTACAAGTGCTTTTGCATATAAAAATATAAATGCTCTGCACGTTTGAATGACCAAAAGGACAAAGGCCAAGATGCACTCTGGTATTTCATCATCTATGTAAAGAAGCAAAGGTAATATTAAATAGTGAGATTGGCTTTTGTGCTTGCCCTGGGCATTATCAAAAGATTAGCAATGGGCTGGCAGTGCCAGCTGAACCCTAGCCCCTAGATAGAAACATAGAAAGAGAGCGAGTCAGAAGGGGTCTCCTGGGCCATCTAGTCTGACCCCTGGTTCCAGCAGGATTACAGGAATTCCAAGAAAAGAAGGCTAAACGCGAACTCTTCTAAAGGCATATCTTGAAGGAAAGAAGTGTTTGCTCAAGAATGAGAAAAAAGGAAACACAGATATGGTAATTCCAGTCAGGTTTATTTGGACTTAGACCAACAGGACTTTATTAATATTTCACAGCAGTCTGTTGTCATTTGAACTCTGTTTTGTGGAACTAGTTGAAAAGTGAATAATTTGATTATAGCATATGATTACATGGCTGCAAGACAAATGGTATGATTCAGTAATGAATATCCACAATATTGAGAAGCAGTTATGCCTGAGGAATTTTTACTGCACAAGTTAACTGTCTGCTAAATACGTGGTTAGAGGGCCCATCAGATGAGACAAATTCAGGTCAGCATTAATTAATTCAGTATGCAATTTGATCTACTCAACTGTCTACTTAAAAGCCATGCAGTAATTAATGCTAATTTTTAGTGAACAATCCAATTTTTTCAACATCTATAAAATCTGGTTGCGCCTGTGGTAATTGAATTTTAAAAACCTGCCTTACTGTAATTGTTTATTTTATTGATTTATATTTAAGTTTTACTACCTTTTCTCATTCTATTTTTGGTAAATGGATAAAACATGTCCAGCATTTATTTGAACTGGAACAGTAGTGGCCTATTACAACTGACTACTGCTTCTAAGAGAGAGAGAACAGAATAGCTAGAACACCAGGCTATATTTTACAGTTCATTTCTGAGTTTTACAAAGACTTTGCACTATGTTATTGTGGCTGATCACCTGAGATGATCAGAATAGAATTCCAGCATTTGATGCAAAACAATTTCCAAAGTATTCTCAAAATTACCACTAGTACATTCCTGCTTCATTGTTACCTTCATTTCCTTACCCTAGTCCTCTAACCTTTTTCTCTTTTATATATGAAGCTGATGTTATTTGCTCATAATACCTTTGGATAAGAAGGAGCTAATTTTATACAAATGAAAAATACATGTTTATTTTTTAAAATACATTCATATCAGACTCCATGGGCAGAGCATTCTGAGCAGTTCAAATTCCTTGTACTGCAATGTCATATTTGAGTTTGGAGTGAATATCCACAACTAGGGCAAAGATAGTTTGACTGAACAGAGGAAATAACACAGGGAACATCTGGGAGAAATCTATTAAAACTTAGTTGTATTGAAATCAGGGAATCAGTTCTTTTGAATCATTATTGAAATAAGTTGTAATGAATTATATTAATCACAAGTAATGTCATTCTTTTCCTTTAAATTGTTTGGTGAAGGCTCAGGAGGCAGATTGGAATGAGTAAGGTTTTTTTTGTGGCAAGAAGCCCTCCCAGTGATTACCAGAAGATGTTATGCAAAATACGTAAGTGAAGATGCTTAAGTTGCATAATGTATACATATTGTAGAGTTCTGCACTTGTCTTGGCATATACGCTTTCATGCTGATTTCTTTTTTTAATGTATAACATATAGCCCTAACTATCAGCGTATTCCTAAAACCTAATAAATATCAGTAGCTACAGGTAGTTTTATTTATTTATTTTTACTTCTCTTTTTCACTCAACCCAGGTGACACAGTGGCCGCTCTGAATCAGTGTCTGGGCTCAGTAACGGACAGGACAGGGCCAACAAACTCAGACTCAATCCAGACAAGGTGGAGGTGCTGTTGGTGCCTGCCCAGGTGGGGGATATTCAACCTGCCCTGGATGGGGTTGCACTCCCCTTAAAGGGCAGGGTTCATAGTTTGGAGATGACCCTGCATCCAGAATTGTCACTTGAGTCTCAGGTGGTCTTGGCATGGAGCAACTTCTATCAGCTTAGGCTGATTTACCAACTGCAATCCTATCTGGACAGGCAGCACCTAGCTACAGTAATCCACACACTGGTAACTTCTCATTTGGAATACTGTAATGCACTCTACACGGGGCTGCCTTTGAAAACAGTCTGTAAACTTCAACTGCTCCAACACAGGACAGCATGACTGCTAATGGACTGGCCCATGAGGTCACATCATATCAGTCTTCTTTCGGCTATGCTGGCTGCCAGTTGAATTCCAGGCCCAATCCAAAGTGCTTGTACTAACACAGAAACAGAGTTAGTCAGAAGGGGTCTCCTGGGCCATCTAGTCTGACTCCTGGCTCCAGCCAGCTCCACTCATGACATGCCTACCATGGCATGGGGCCAGGTTATCTGAAAGAACACCTCTTCCCCTATGCACCTACCCAGGCCTTAAGATTATCTTCTGAAGTCTTTCTTAGGGAGTCCTCTCCAAGGGAAATAAGGAGGGTAATTGGAAGAAGGGCCTTTTCAGTTGTGGCACCTCACTTATGGAATCACCTCCCCAATGAGGTACACCTGTTTCTCAGAGCTATGTAGTTCTTCAAAGACCAAGTCTACAGCTGAATGACTGATTTGCAAAATGAACATCACACATTGCCACCAATTTGCAGTATATTACTTATTTGTTCTATATGTACAAATCATTGTTGAAGTAAACAGCTAGCTGAAAAGCATCCCATGATGAAGTACTAGGGTTCTCTCTTAAATGGGGCAAAGGCACAAAATAAGCTGGGTTTCTCCTTCACTCGCTCTCAGATTACAGCAGACTGGATATTTACAAACAGCCTGTTTAAATAGTCCTTGATAAGGTAGCCTGAAGAGGGGGTAGAACGTGCAGTGCTGAGAGAAGGAAGAGCAGAGATGGTCGGTGTCATCAGCTCCTGCAGGGGAACGCTTGCATCGGATCACTGCTGCTTGTCACCATAGCACACACAACGTTACTGGCAGCATTAATTATCAAAGTGACTGTGAGCTTAAGGAGTGCAAATTTACATTGTTACAGTTTGTCTGAAGAAATTTAAAATCACTGTACTATTTTTATAAAATCTAAATAAATATGTATCATTTCATGGAATGGACATTCTGAGTATCCAGAAGAGCTGTAACAGTTGTAATCTAATAACCTAGTTCAGACATCAAAAATGTATCAGCTAAAATATCTAAAAAATGTGTCAAAGTTTTGCAGGATCACACTAATGTCCTTCTACCAAGTAGTTTCAATGGTGACCTGCTTACCCTTAATGGTTTATATAACTTCAACCGCAAGGAAAGGGCTTTACATACTGATGGTGGCAATGTTCCTTTATCACAATTTAGAGAATTCTAAAATTGAAACCATAAAGCCCAAGCTCTCTGCAGCTATCTGTCATGGCTCCAAATCATTTAATCTGGGCTACCCTGCAAACAATTTGTATGCCATCTGCAAGGTGAATATCTTATGCCAAGAGGCCTATGTGTCATGAATTATAGGATGACAGGAAGACTGAACTGAAAAATGTGGTGTGGACTATGGCGCCTATTAAACTACCTGATAAAGTCTATCATATACACCTTGATTTTCAAAGATGTGCACATTAAAGTGCAATTAAGATTTCTCCTAGTTCTTCCACACTGAATCACAGAATATTTAACTGTGTAGGCAGCACGGAAGTAGTTTCAGTATCTATGAAACCAGGTGGTGGAGTTAATATTACTTGCATCACGTTATTATTACATGGGATAGTTTGTATGTGACTATGAGCTTTCATCACAACTATGTAGGTCACTGTGTGAGTGTGACAAGCCCTTATATTCGGAACAGAGCAAGAGTGCCCCCCGAAGCCTTTACATTTCATCATCACTTGGGTATGCATCAGAAGGCAAAACAGTACTCCCTCTACCCCATATATTGCTTCACTTTAA